CAAGCATCAGGCTTCCAGAATGGACCCTTCGCCACAGCAAAACAGCACCTAATTTCGTGCCGAAACCGTGCCCAAACTTATCCACAAAAACTGCCTAACGTCCCTTCTGAATTCCTAGAAAAAATGTCTGTCTTTTTCTGTCTCCTGCAGCTCTTGTTTGGTGGCTGCAAGTTGCAAGCATCAGCCCTCCAGAACGGACCCTTCGCCACAGCAAAACAGCACCTAATTGCGTGCCGAAACCGTGCTCAAACTTATCCACAAAAACTGCCTAACGTCCCTTCTGAATTCCTAGAAAAAATGTCGACTTTTTCTGTCTCCTGCAGCTCTTGTTTGGTGGCTGCAAGTTGCATGCAAGCATCAGGCCTCCAGAACGAACCCTTCGCCACAGCAAAACAGCACCTAATTGCGTGCCGAAACCGTGCTCAAACTTATCCACAAAAACTGCCTAACGCCCCTTCTCAATTCCTGGAAAAAATCTATCTTTTTTTGTTTTTTTGTTTCCTGCAGCTGTTGTCTGGTAGCTCCAAGCTGCAATCATCAGCCCTCCAGAACGAACCCTTTGCCACAGCAAAACAGCACCTAATTGCGTGCCGAAACCGTGCTCAAACTTATCCACAAAAACTGCCTAACGCCCCTTCTGAATTCCTAGAAAAAATTTCTCTTTTTTATTTTATTTGTTTCCTGCAGCTGTTGTTTGGTGGCTCCAAGCTGCAAACATCAGGCTTCCAGAAGGAACCTTTCGCCACAGCAAAACAGCACCTAATTGCGTGCCGAAACCGTGCTCAAACTTATCCACAAAAACTGCCTAACGCCCCTTCTGAATTCCTAGAAAAAATGTCTGTCTTTTTCTGTCTCCTGCAGCTTTTGTTTGGTGGCGCCAAGCTGCAAGCATCAGTCCTCCAGAACGGACCCTTCGCCACAGCAAAACAGCACCTAATTGCGTGCCGAAACCGTGCTCAAATTTATCCAGACAAATTGCCTAACGTCCCTTCTGAATTCCTAGAGAAAATCTGTTTTTCTGTCTCCTGCAGCTGCTGTTTGGTGGCTCCAAGCTGCAAGCATCAGCCCTCCAGAACGGACCCTTCGCCACAGCAAAACAGCACCTAATTGCGTGCCGAAACCGTGCTCAAACTTATCAACAAAAACTGCCTAACGTCCCTTCTGAATTCCTAGAAAAAATTCTCTTTTCTGTCTCCTGCAGCTGTTGTTTGGTGGCTCCAAGCTGCAAGCATCAGGCTTCCAGAACGGACCCTTCGCCACAGCAAAACAGCACCTAATTGTGTGCCGAAACCGTGCTCAAACTTACCCACAAAAACTGCCTAACGCCCCTTCTGAATTCCTAGAAAAATCTCTTTTTCTGTCTCCTGCAGCTGTTGTTTGGTGGCTCCAAGCTGCAAGCATCAGGCTTCCAGAAGGAACCCTTCGCCACAGCAAAACAGCACCTAATTGCGTGCCGAAACCGTGCTCAAACTTACCCAAAAAAACTGCCTAACGCCCCTTGTGAATTCCTAGAAAAAATCTATCTTTTTTTGTTTTTTAGTTTCCTGCAGCTGTTGTCTGGTAGCTCCAAACTGCAAGCATCAGGCTTCCAGAAGGGGCCCTTCGCCACAGCAAAACAGCACCTAATTGCGTGCCGAAACCGTGCTCAAACTTACCCACAAAAATGACCCTTCGCCACAGCAAAACAGCACCTAATTGCGTGCCGAAACCGTGCTCAAACTTACCCACAAAAACTGCCTAACGCCCCTTCTGAATTCCTAGAATTTTTTTTTTTCTGTCTCCTGCAGCTGTTGTTTGGTGGCTCCAAGCTGCAAGCATCAGGCTTCCAAGAAGGAACCCTTCGCCACAGCAAAACAGCACCTAATTGCGTGCCGAAACCGTGCTCAAACTTACCCACAAAAACTGCCTAACGCCCCTTCTGAATTCCTAGAAAAAATTTCTCTTTTTTTGTCTCCTGCAGCTGTTGTTTGGTGGCTCCAAGCTGCAAGCATCAGGCTTCCAGAAGGAACCCTTCGCCACAGCAAAACAGAACCTAATTGTGTGCTGATACCGTGCTCAAACTTACCCACAAAAACTGCCTAACGTCCCTTCTGAATGCCTAGAAAAAATCTATCTTTATTTGTCTCCTGCAGCTCTTGTTTGGTAGCTCCAAGCTGCAAGCATCAGGCTTCCAGAAGGGACCCTTCGCCACAGCAAAACAGCACCTAATTGCGTGCCGAAACCGTGCTCAAACTTACCCACAAAAACTGCCTAACGCCCCTTCTGAATTCCTAGAAAAATATCTCTTTTTTTGTGCATCAGGCTTCGACTGGCTGCCTGCTACCTGCTTCTTGACTGCTGGCCCTGCTGGCTACTCGCTGCTGCTGGCTGCTACCTAGAGAATCCCAAATGCTAGGGAATCTCTTCGGGAATCCTAGACTACAAAAACGCGGGCCCCGGACTGCGAAACATCATATTGCTGCTGCTGCCTGCCTGCTGCTTACCCTTATAAGTACAAGCTGCATGGCTTTGTGACTGCCTGCTGCTGCCTACTGCTGCCTGCTGCTGCCTGCTGCTGCTGCTGCTGTTGCTGCTGCTGTTGCAAGCTTCCAAATGGTCGGCGGAAAATGTCTTATTCCCTGGCGCGCTCCCCCTTGCGTCGGCCGGGGTCAACATGGCACACGGGTCTGCAACGCATGTCATGTGGCCACAGTCCAAGCTGCCATCCGCAAGCGTGCCGCAGCGTTGAATGCAGAACCCCAAAAAGGGCCTAACGTCACTTCTGAAATCCTACTATAAAATTGAAACTTTGCCGCTGCCTGCCGCTGCCTGCTGCTGCCTGCTGCCTGCTGCTGCCTGCTGCTGCCTGCTCCTGCCTGCTCCTGCCTGCTGCTGGCTGCTGCCTGCTGCTGCCTGCTGCTGCCTGCTGCTGCATGCTGCTGGCAGAAGCTGCTTGCTGCCTGTTGCTGCCTTCTGCTGGTGCTGCTACTGGTGGCTGCTCCTGCTGCTGCTGTGGTGCTGCTGTGGTGCTGCTGTGGTGCTGCTGCAATCAAACAGCCTCCAAAGCAAGAAACAAACAGCCAGACACCCTTTTCGAAACACATCCGAAAGAGCAAAAACGTAGCAATGGAACCCCAAAAAAGGGCCTAACGTCACTTCTGAAACCCTACTATAAAATTGAAACTTTGCCGCTCCTGCTGCTGCCTGCTGCTGCCTGCTCCTGCCTGCTGCTGGCTGCTGCTGGATGGGAAAACACCATGGCAGTGAAGGACGGAGAAAACCCAAAATTGCACCCCATAAATGCCTAACGAAAACGCATAGAAAATGATGATTTTGGTTGCTTTTTCCTCTTGCTGCTGCTATGAATTTTGGCTACCTTTTCCTCCTGCTGCTGCAGAGGCTTTTGCTGCTGCTGCTGGTCCCCGACCCGTTGTTGTATTTCTTGTTGTCCACAACCTCTCTTCCCTGACGCGCTCCCCCTTGCGGTCGGCCGGGGTCGGCGGATATATATATATAATTGAATACTGTATTATGAGAGAGGGAGTGCCATTTAGTTTAAAAAGTTTAGAAGACATAATATCAGAAGAAAAGGAAGAATTATTATCTTTAATTTATGAAGAAGTAGAATATTACTTAAATTATAGAGTTACACATGATATTGAAGTTCAATTAGTGGCAAAACTACCAGATAAAGAATATGGTGAACATGAATTTAGTTTTAGGGAAATTTACTTTATGAATGGCTTTGATGAATATGTAGATGATGATAATATAGACAAAGTATTAAATAAAGCAGTTGAAGAAATAAAAACCGATATAAGAAGACCAAGATAAAGATAGTATAACAGGAATACAAGCATTTCACTTTGAATTGATAATTATTGAAGAGATTTACTACTAACATTCTAATAATATTTATTTATTAGAATTATGGATTTGTAAGATAGGGTTATTAAAGGGTAGGGAATAATGTTTATTGTTGTCTATTGTTTTGTTTTTAATGGTGTTCTTTGCTTGGCTTGTTTTTGTTTTTTGGTTGTTATAGGAATTCTTGGAAAAGACATTTAAGAAGATAATCATATTTATATGTAATGGGTAAATTTTGTAGATACTGTGTTAAAGATTTACCAATTGATAATTTTGAAGATGGATTGAAGACTTGTAAGAAATGCTTGGAATACAAGAGAAAGAACTATGACAAACATAAAGATAAAGTGAATGAAACACGAAGAACTAAATATAAAGAAGATGAAGAATATAGAAAAAAAACAGGAACAAATACAAAACTATCGTGATAAAGTTGCCTTTTGTAATGTATGTAATTCATCAATGAAGGCACAATAGTCAAGACATTTAAAAACAGAGAAGCATAAAAAGGAATTTAGGAACGGTTGATGGATAGGATTTTGTAAAATGAATAAGGTAATAATGCGTTTGACTGCTATGATTTTGAAAAATGAATGAGGTAAGTATGCTTTGACAGCTATGATTTCGAAAAATTGAATGAGGTAATTGTGTTTTGACTGCTATGATTTTGAAAAATGAATGAGGTAAGTATGCTTTGACTGCTATGATTTTGAAAAATTGAATGAGGTAATTCTGTTTTGACTGCTATGATTTTGAAAAATGAATGAGGTAAGTATGCTTTGACTGCTATGATTTTGAAAAATTGAATGAGGTAATTGTGTTTTGATATTGTTGAGAAAAATGAAGTAATCAACAATATTTAAACTGACTTTTTGGACTGTTATGTTTTTTTTGTTTTTTATGAATAAATTTTGATTTGCTATACTGCTATGATATTAGTTTAGAAAACTTCACTGAATCAACTTTTTTTACATTTTTTTGGGGGCATTATAAACAGTGGGGGTGGGAGTCCAGGGACCGGGCTCATATATATATAATATATATGTATATATGTATATCATATGATTGTATATAATATCCCCATGATGCCCATCAAAAGGTTGGTTTCAGCATATTTTTAAGGCACCGATACACCAGCAGACTCAAAGCTTCAGGTGGTCACTGTGCTCGAGCAGATGTTCACTGCCTGGCGGAACCTCTCCACCTTGACGCAGCAAGGCCCTGGGGGAGACGTCTTTTGCATGATATGATATAAATATATACATAGATACAGTATACTATACACGTTTGCTAATATAAAATTTAGCATACAGGTATATGATGATATATATAATGATATATATATAATGATATATATATATATATAATGATATATATATATAATGATATATATATATATATATATAATGATATATATATATAATGATATATATATATATATAATGAATATATGTGATAGTTTCAAGATGTATCAAAACTAATTAATGATACTACTAGTGATAAGAATAATGATCGTTACAATAATATGTGTTATATACTCTAATGTAATGTGTTAAAGGACACCTGGTCTTTGGTGTTGACATGTATGTCCTTGAGCCTCTGCAAAGTCATTGGTCGTGGCTAGGTGATCCAGAGAGGATACGGATCAGGGCCGATTTTGGTGGCTCAGTGGCAGATTTTCTGCTGGCTCACGCTTGGAATCTAGTGGATGAACACACGATAGAAAGAGTAGGAAGGGTAAGAAGATGGTAAAGTCATGCTACCAGTAAAGGTTAGAATCTGTTACTGTAGAATCTAAGCATCCAAATGACTCCGATGGAGATTGAAAGCCGTGCATCAAGTTTCATCCAGCTGAGGCATGAGGTCGCGAGCATCTGCGAGCACTCCTCTTGTCTCCGCATTGTTAGACAAGGTGGGGGAGAGGGTTTCTTGCGGGTACCCCTAAAATGTATGTGTATGAATGTGTATCATCATTTACCTATGAAAATCACTATACAAGAGATATCACACCCAAATACTTGTAGGTCTGGTTGGACAAATCTCCCAATCCCCATTAAAATATATTAAAATCCCTTTCTGAAAGTCCCATCAAATCCCAAGAAAATTTCCTGTGCAGCGACTCACCTCAGGCGATTGCTCGTGTGCGCCATGAGCCCGACCTTGTGGCAGTGCGGCGCCTCGAAGCCCTACTGAACTGGCAGGCGGAGCGGCGCCACGCCATGGGTCGAGCCGTGGGTCAGCCATATGGGTCGATGGCAGGTGGGTCGCTGATGTTTTTCCAAATCGAACATATCGAAGTTGATGTTGTTCCGGATTCGAGATGATTTGATAAAGATTTGATGTAGCTTGGACATAGATTCGATGAATTGACCAGAAACATCAGAAACAGCTACAAAGAGAAACTAGAACACTGTTGTTGCTTTGGCAGTTCCAGGGGTTACCGTGTCACAGATCTTGCGTGTCGGAGGTGGAACTTGGCTCCAAGTCTGCCGCCTGCGAGCTGGGTGTGCTACCTTTCCTGGAGCAAATGTTGAAAGAGCACCTTGGTAAAACATGCTGTGGACACTGGAAACCCAGCCTACAATAGCCATGACATACTATGACTTTGACATACTTTGACACTGTAAAAATGACAAAGCTATGGCCATACCATGGTTCAAAGTTCCTAGACCTCAAATTGGACACTGGATCCCAAACTTCATACAGTCATACACTATACATAAGACGTGGAGTGTAGATGTCTACTTCCAAGAAAAGCTCTACAAAGATACAGGAACATTTCATACCAATTGGTTGATATCATTTTGCACTGAGCATCCTCTGTTTACAGCGATAATCTGGACAAAGACCCGAACATCGTTTACTTGCGTAGAATTTGGCTCGTGATTGGTGGAAATCCACTGCGGGAAGTCTTCGCTGCCCTGGATGCTCCGAATAAAAGTAGTTCTGTTGAGTGGCGAGCCTGAAAGATCTGAAAGCCTTTTGCTTCCGCAGTCCTCCAGAATTAAGGACTTGAGGACAGAGGTTCAGAAGGCTTTTCAAGGTCGGCTTGTACGGCTTGTCACTGCAGATGGAAATCTGTTGGATGCAGACAAGTCACTGGAAGCTGCAGGTCTTCGCGATGGAGATGTCCTCACAGCCATCTTGCTCGAAGCGAAGCAGCTAGCAGCAACACACGCAGCCTTTGCCCTTTCCTGCTGTGGAGGTGACCAGATCCTCACATGGGGCAATAAACAGTTTGGTGGTGATAACTTTGCCATCCAAAATAAGATCAGGAGAGTGCACAAGGTCCAGGCCACAAAAACTGCATTTGCTGCGATCCTGGAAGATGGATCTGTGATTACATGGGGCAATCAACATGATGGTGGTGATAGCTCGAAAGTCCAGCTCAGAAACGTGCAGCAAATTCAGGCCAACTGTTATGCATTTGCGGCGATCCTAGAAAATGGATCAGTTGTTGCGTGGGGCCATCCAAAGAATGGAGGTGACATTTCTGCAGTTCAAGATCAGCTCGTCAATGTACAGCAGGTTCAGGCCACATTCAGTGCATTTGCTGCCATCCTGGCAAATGGATCACTTGTTGCTTGGGGCAATGAAGAGTGTGGTGGCGACAATTCTGCAGTCCAAGATCAGCTACAGGATGTACGGAATGTTCAGTCCACGCAAACTGCATTTGCTGCGATCCTGGAAGATGGATCTGTGATTACATGGGGCAATCAACGTGATGGTGGTGATAGCTCGAAAGTCCAGCTCAGAAACGTGCAGCAAATTCAGGCCAACTGTTATGCATTTGCGGCGATCCTAGAAAATGGATCAGTTGTTGCGTGGGGCCATCCAAAGAATGGAGGTGACATTTCTGCAGTTCAAGATCAGCTCGTCAATGTACAGCAGGTTCAGGCCACATTCAGTGCATTTGCTGCCATCCTGGCAAATGGATCACTTGTTGCTTGGGGCAATGAAGAGTGTGGTGGCGGCAATTCTGCAGTCCAACATCAGCTACAGGATGTACGGAATGTTCAGTCCACGCAAACTGCATTTGCTGCGATCCTGGAAGATGGATCTGTGATTACATGGGGCAATCAACGTGATGGTGGTGATAGCTCGAAAGTTCGAGATCAGCTTCGGAATGTGGATCAGATTGTAGCTACAGATCGTGCGTTCGCTGCTATCCTCAGAGATGGATCTGTTGTTTCGTGGGGCTGTGGCTATTTTGGTGGTGACAGCTCTTTAGTCCAAGATCAGCTTAGAAATGTGAAACGTGTTCAGGCCACGCGATCCGCATTTGCTGCAATTTGCCGCGATGGATCGCTGGTTACATGGGGCCAAAAATTTTCTGGAGGTGACAGCTCTTCAATCCAAAATCAAGTCAGGAATATGGATTTGCCCAGAAACGTGGGTACCTCAACATTTGGTTGATCATCATTTTCCCGATCAAAACCGCCATAAATCGCGGCTTGAATCAAACACATGGGGAAAATCATTCACGTCTCACCAGCTTTCAGAAGACCCAGACATTTAGCGGTTTTGGTACCAGGAAGAAGGGACACTTGGGAGCGGGTGGGAGCGGCGTTGGAAAAACTCTTTGTGCCATGTTCGGAAAGTTATTGAGGGATGTAGGGTCCATTTAAATATTGGCAAACCCATAGAGTAACTCAACGACACCGGCTTTGACTGTGGCAATCGCGGGCCTTTCAGATCTGACGCAATTTGCTGAGGCTATCCGAGTGCCTGCAAGGCCAGAGCGTCAAAGCAGAGAAATGGGGAGCTGTGGGAATTCTTGGTTGGCTCGATGAACCATGGGTGATCATGGGTGTCGGCCCAGCTGAAGTGTCAGCGCAGGCACGACTCGACTCCAAAGCAGCTTTCAAATGCCAGGTGGAGATGCTTAGTTGTGCTTAGAGAGCCCTGACCTGCTCCGGGCAGTTTGCCTCTGGGCAGTTTGCAAACACTAAACTCCGTGCAAGTTGCATTTTTTGAGAGGCAATAGTACCCTTCTTTCGACCCCAGAGGCGCTGGGAAACTTCAGACCTGGATACATTAAACTTACCATAATGCAAATAGAACTCATCACTCAACATTGGACCAATATGGACCAATCGTTTTCTTGTTTCTCGTTGCAGGTGCTATGGCGTGCCATTGTTCACGGAGACCTCGCGTCAGCATGGAGCTCAGACACAATAGGACGTTGTGACCCTCTGCAGTTGGCGGTTTCTACAACAGTTGTTTCAACGCCTATCGCTCATGCAGAAAAGGTGCTGCTGCGTAAGCAGATACTATGGTGAGAACAAGAAACCCTTAAGCGTAAAGTCCGCGTAAGCTCTATTAACACACTGTGCCCTGCGTAAGGTAAAACCACACGCGCGTAAGCCTTGCGTAAGCAGTTGAGCAAGAAACATGATACGACATAGGGAGTTATATACTCAAGGTTTTCAGATCCGCTCAACTGAATGTCACTGACAAAATGGGGACTAAACCTTTGGTAGAATTAGGGGGAGATGATAATAAACCATGCTAAACGATAAACCATTGGATTTTGATGAATTTGGGGGTCCCCCTATTTTTAGACGAAGCCATCACGTGCAAACAACAGGGAGCCGCGTGGCTGGGAATACACTGCACGTCACTGAGGTAGAGTCCATCATCCGTCACGGCGGTTTAGTCTCTGGTCGGACGCAGGACGCAGAGCTGGTTTGAATTCTCATTGAATGAGAGATGGATTTTATCTTAATCCCTTCCCCCTAAGATTAGAATACACCACCCAGAACCACCCAGAACTGGCCCAGAAACCATGGCTTAATAGGGAATGAACATGAATGAACTCACTATGGTGAAATCCAAAAAAAATGGGGACCATGGGATGAGGGATGAGGGTGTTGGATGGGATGATTAACGGCATCGTTTTTTCGAAATGACGGCCACCAGGATCCCAGTGGTCACTCGGTGCTGTGGAATGCGATTGCATTTGAGCGGCCGGAGGCATCGAACATCGCGTTCGATGGGTGGAAACTTAAAAATCATGCGGTGGTTCAAATGGTGCAACGGTTTGGCTCACTAGCAATGCTAGTTTCTCTTGCTACCTCGTGGGTTTGTGGAAGAATGGCACCTTAAAATCATTTAAAATCCAACGTTTTTTCTATAACATTTCCCCTGCCAAAACTGTCATTTTGTTGCACACTCCATTTTTGAAAATCCACAGCATGTGCTCTCAAAATCTCTCAAATATGGACTTTGTGAGTGTTGCATTTTCAGAAAACTCCATGGCAAAGGTCTCCGGCTTGAGGTATTTTGTAGACACAGAAACACACATCGTACACACCTAGCCGCTTAAGGCTTAGCCCCGTTGGGATAGCATGTTGCCATGGAGTTTTGCGACCTGCTTTCAGATCTTTCAGGTGGCGCTGTTGCTCTTGCGTTCCTTTCCGCCAGACATGTAAAAGCCTTAGACTCTTAGACGGTAACTTAGACGTCTACAGTTTGACAATGGACTCCTTTCCCTGGCTCATGCTCCGAGGCTCCATGGAGTAGCCCTTGGTGAGCTGCATCAGCGCAACGGTTTTTGGGCCCAGTTTTGCCACGCCTTGCGACGGCAGTCACATGCTGGCAGTTTGCAGACTGCGAGCGATCAACTTCTGGCGGTTGAGGCAATTCGTTGCTGCATTTAGTCAGTAGCTTCCAGTCACGGACTCAGAGTAAGGATTCTGACTGTGGAATCGATACTGTCTAAATTGAGGCTTGGTTACACAGTCATGCCGCCTATTTTTCTCAATCTTGTGTCTATTGTGTCTATGCGCAGGATGGTCTTATTTTTGAGGGTCGAAACTGGTAGGTCCCTGGTAGGTACTGTCCTGGTTGTAAGCGAATGTAAGCCTGTCGTGATTGCCTTCAGACTGTCGGTAGCCCATCCAAGGCATTTCAACGCCCAGTGTGAGGGTCTTTTTGCCATGCTCTTCGAACGCATGCCTGAGGTTCGCCAAATTAAAGGGATTTACATGGATTTACATACATACGTTACATACCCATTATGTTTGGTTTTGCATTCTGGGATGGATGACCATAACCCATATATAATCTTTTGACTATGGCACATACGGCCCCATTTCCCGCTTCCAGTGTGTAACATGCCTTAGAAACTCTGCTGAGCCTTGCCAGTTTTCTCAGATCCTTTTCCTCATGACATTGTTGCAAAGGGTCTGGAGTTTCAACATGCTTGCCAGTTGTCTTGGTTGGACCGCAGGCACTGCGCATTCATCGAAATCTGTAGGGCAGCACAGCTATTTTGTGGTGTAACATGAAGCAATGGAGATGTTAGCCTCACTTCAGCGCCCAAGATCATCCAACTCACTAAACTCTCGTTTTAGTCGTTTCAGTCGTTTCAGTCTGCATCTGAGCTGTGCCCAAGGCATGGCCAGTCGTTTCTTCACATTGCTGCTGGGAGGAGGTGGGTAGACCATGATAGACCATGGAGATGGCGGGTGGTTAGCAAAACGAGAGGAGACAGGACAAGGTGCATCAGGTGGACCACAAGGAAAGAGAAACAAGGGGAAGGCTTTGGACGATACACTTTGACAAATTGCGCTTATTGAAATGTTAGTTTTTTAATTGTTTTCGTTTGCAGTGTTTTCTTATCTTGCCAGTCTTGTCTGTGTTGTAACATCATGCAAGGAATCTTTGGATACTGAGCTACGCTGCTTCACGTGGTTTGGCAGCACAATTCTCAGCCCACAACTCAGCGCCATTCGCTGGCAGATGGAGACGAGAGCAAACAACAGTGATGCTCCAAATGCTCCAAGGTTGCTGACAGTGGTGGTTTGTCGCCGCAAAAGCTGCTCGGGCAGTCCCCTGGCACAATTGCCTAGCAGACTGGGAGACTGATGACTTTTCATTGAGTTCTTTTGGTGTCTATGAAGAAACTGAGGGCCATGATTCCATTGCCGCTTGCTGTTCCAACTTCCAAGAATCGCAAAAACCCTTCAAATACTCTGATTTGACCGCTTGCCTGGAACTGGCTTGCCCAGAACGGTTGCAGCTATACAAGATGATCAAAGCTGATATTGTGGACATAGTTGCACAATTATATGTACAGCAACTCATTTACGATTCCTAGGGGCCTTGAGTCTGTAAGATTGCGTTCAGGCAATGACTTATCCGAGCGACTGTGACTTACACTGGCTGGAGGCATCTAGAACTGATGCGGCTCCATCGTCCTGTGCTGTCAACCGGCAGGGTGCCACAGGAATGATAGACTTTCGGGAAGACAGAGACTGGGCAAAGAGCCTCAAGCACACGCACACTGCATGGGAGCTTGTTGCTCTTTGTAGCAGGCATGTGACTTCTTTCTGATACCCAAGCTGATGGTCACCCTGTGCGAGGTGGTACAAAAATGCCAACCTGGTGCTCTTTCAGTGCGCCTACCAAGATACAAAAATTTGCTTGGGAAGCTGTGTGCACCCAAACTGTGTAGACGTGATTGATAACCATGTCTGTGACAACTGCCGGCCCGATTTCATTTGCAACATCAAAACGCCAAACAAATTGCAGAATTTCAATGAATTTCAGTTTTTTTGACTATAGTACTTAGGACAGGTACCTTTGAATACATATATCAGTACAGTAACCGACAAAATTATTTTAATACTAGTTTAGTCTTGCTTCGCCTTGGCCTTTCTGAGTTTGCACAAAACCTTCATAATCGATAGGGGAGGACCCTACACCGATACCCCATTTGTGATACCTCCGGGAGTACTTCAATCCTGACAACAGATAGGGGACGACCCTAATTTGTGCATGGCATTAAATTTAGCAAATCATTTTGTCCGCTACTCATTTGGATACTGTACATATTATATATAATATCATTATACTCCCCCGAAGATCAAGTCAAGCATCAAGTATCCGCAAGGTTTTGCGAGTCTGTTTATCATTTGTTTGCGCTAGAGCAGGAACCGAATGCAAGCAGGTAGCAACTCCCAAAAGGATAGAACAGATAAATCCAACTAAAATAACGGTAATTTCTTCTTGTTTGGGGTGACTATGCAATATGCTACGATATGCCCTTACCATAACACCATACTTTTGCTGGTTGTCAGAGGTGCCTTGCAGCCAGCCACAGCCGGTGCAAAGCCACCCTTCGCTGATGTGGCGGTCGAGATTGAAGGGGAAGAGCGAATCTATGCGTCCGTGCCTGATGCGCGAAGTGGATGCCTTGTGACAACTGCAGCCAGTGCAGGATTGCAGCAAAATCCATCAAAATCCCTTCCCCTAAACACCCGCGAGAAACGGGTGTTTAGTAGGGATTCACACCTATGGAGACCCATTTACGGGTGTGTAATGGTGTGTTTAGTATTAGGGGAATGGGATTTATCAAGACCTCGGTCCATTCATATCAAGACCATGGCCTGTCCCTTCCTGTTCCCAAGTTTTGGGCAAAGTGTTTTTTCTAAGCTTTTCACTTGTGCCAGAAAAAAAATGAAGGTCTCGATCTGTGTTTCAACAACAAGGCAACTCTTCACCGTTGCATGTAGATCTGCGTTTTGAGGCACCGAGTCATTATTTCAGCTGCATCACAGAAGTGGCACCAGCAACTCAGGCAGGAGAGACTGGCACTCTTTGGCTCCATGTTAGGCTCCATTTTTCCGACCCCTTGATTCGTGCAGGGCTACCAATGGTGGTGACTTACAGGCGAGAAGCGGGATGCGCAGAAGAGGTCTCAGGTATTGTGTCAGATGTTGAACGTGTCTTCCGCCAACGCTTCTCAGGAACAATCCTTGAAGTTCTGAACCCAAGACTGGAGGATTGTATGAGAATAGATCATTATATTCTTCAGTGTTATTATACACATGACATATACTGACAATAATACATCATATCATATGGATATTATATTTAACTATAGTAATCCAGTCCCATAGCCTGACAAGCTGTTGACAAACAGGATCCCATAGCCTGAGCTTCCAGGTGCTCAAGATCACCTCTTGCAAGAGTATCGAGGCGGGCCAGCCATGGTGAATTATGAGGGAACCCAATTATAAACCATGTTTTTGTATTTTTTTTAAAGAAATCAATTATTGGGGTTTGCTATTGGGTATACTTAACTACATGACTGGTTTTTTTTCCCGGGTCTATGGCATGGGAAATTTCCTTATGAAAAACTGTTCCGAATGTCGTTTTTCAGGTGGTGGGCTTCGCGCTGAGATACCTCTACACAGGCGATGTTGAGAGTTGCCCGGCATGGCACATTGGGGAACTGGTGCCCATCTTGTCAATGGGAATTTCAGGATCCTAAAATGAAGGTACTGTACCATATAAGGTCACATTTTGTGGGGATATCCCCTTACATATATGGTAGGTACCTCCAATTTAGGTTCCTGAAATGGCCATTGATCTTGGGGATGGTCAATCCAGAATTCCCATCTTGGGGAAATGCATAAAAAATTGCGTGACTGGTGGGACCTGAACTGCCTGCCAAAAAATCAAACAAATCCATGTCATATTTCATGATTATATCATGACTAGCAATTGTGCCCTTGCAGTTTTCCTTTGACAGAATCGGCACACAATGGCACTCACAATGGTGATATCCTGCATCCACATATCTGAGGTACTTTCCAGAAGGACTCTACCAAGCACAGCTGGCTTCCAGTTTGCAGAAACCACGGGTTTGACGTGTTGGAATGCGGCGCACTGAAAGTGGACATCGCTTCATACTTGGGACCCGCTAAGCTGAGTTCGCTTGTGCTTTTCCCGTGGCAGGTTGCTGGAGCTGCTTCAATTCTGTCGAAGTGAGGACCTGCCTTCTTCGCTTTGTGCCCGATTCCCAAAGGAGAACTAAGCCTGAGACATTCAGATACATTCAGATACATTCAGATACATTCAGATACATTCAGATACATTCAGATACATTCAGTTGACATTTTTGATGCATTTTGCATATCTGGATGTCTTGGTGACACATGTGACACATGTGACACATCGACTCTTCGATTGCCTTGGCCGTCAGATCCCACATCCCCAGGCTTGGGCTGCAGATGGCTTGCTCCAATCGGAGTCAGGCAGGGCATCCATCTCTGTCCTTCGGCCTTTTCAATTCTATTGTTGCTGTATGGTGGATATGAGTTGGTATATGTTGGTGTTTGTTGGGTATTTTTTCATTTGATTATAGTTATCCATATAGTTTTCCATCCTAATCCCCCAATCTTTGGTGGTGATATTGTCATAAACTTCCTTGTCGCTGGACCCAGGCTTTGTGGCAACTTTGCTCTTGGAGGCGCCCAAATTGGGCCTGCCCCCAGCAGCGCAGCGGTTTCTTGCGTGCGCAGCTTAAACGCAGAACTGGAGCAAGTGCAATGGATGAGTCCCCACTGACAGTTCGCACTTTTCGGCTGTGACACTACTTGAGTCTTGAGTCACACCGCGTGGAAGCCTTGCTAATCCCAAAGACCAGGAAATGAAGCCACAAGACTATTCTTCTGCAATATGTTTGCCAATGCAATCAGATCAGACAGCAGTGTTCTTTGTGCGTGCTGAGCAACTTGCAACAGCCCATTGAATTCCAGAGCAATAAGACAGACAGAAGATGGTGTGCAGATCACATTCGCCTCACAGTGAAAGCCAAAACATCAGAGAACTGTAAGCTCGTTTTATGTTTTTAACAAGGGGAGAGTGAGAGTCATGTTGCTTCTGCTGAGGTACCGTTTCATTTGCGATGACGCTGCCTGGAACCCGAGAATTACATTCCTTTTGGTGCAGGATGGTGGCTTTCATGACCAAAGAGTCATTCCTTTGACACTGCAGGAGCAACCACACATCAGATCTTTGACCCACTTCCGAATCTTCCGATCCATTCATTCATCCCCGGATATGTCTGAGAATGGGGTATGCCATGGTATGCCCCCCCCAAAATGGCTTATGGAAAATGGTGATACACCATCAAAATTAGGGGTACCGTATTCGTCACATTCGATGAGTAGCCATGGCTGGCGAAAGCACCCAAAAAGGCTTGGCAAGCTGCAGCAGAAGCGGAGGCGGAGAACTTCTGTGAAGGGTCTGTAGAACCATGTCTTCATAAGCCAAGAAAAGGTCCATAGAGAAGCCATCAGTGCCTGCACCAGAAAGATCCTGGTCAGACTGGTGCCACACTTTGTCAGCAGGTCATTGTGTAAGAGCTATGGGTTGCATCCAAGCGCAACACGTTTGTTTCATCCATGCTCCCCAGGCCCACTTTGCAGTGTATTGTCATGTATTGTCTAGATTTTCTAGTACTTGTACATACTGAACCATCTCGACTTTGTGAAGGTCAATGGCCACAACGGCAGTTCCAAGGCCTGCGCGATGTAGGTGTCACAAAAACACAGCCAATTCACTTAGATTTCTTTAAAAGTCTTTCACCCATCTTGAACAGAGTTCTGTTGCGAAAGTTAGCAATCAGCGTATTATTGGGATAGGCACCTTCATGAGGGAGGTGTGCTACGATTTGCACAGGTTCCGATGCGCAGCGCTGCTTTGACAACTGCTCTATCAGCACTTGAGCCGCTCATCAGAGTTGATGTCCAGCTTGGCCATGGTCAAGCGAGGAGGAACAATTTGAGCTCGACATAGATGACATATCAGGTGCTCTATCAGGTATGCATTTCAATTAATTTCAATAAACCTTCCAACTGACACAAGCTTTCCCAAACCACCTGTCTGAAACCAAGATCTCCTAGATCTAGTAGGTGAGGAATCCAAAAAAAACACGCATTCGTTTGCATCTTGCAGTGCATTAAAAAAATTGTGTGTTCAGCAGACAGCTGAGGTCAGCTCAATTTGGTGCCTGAGAAGAATTCGACACTTTTCAGTGGAGAATTTCCGATGGGCCGTGGCTGCTTCACGCCGCGCAGATAATGCACTGCATGCGCCTTTGCAGCAGTACATTGATCAGTACCACCTAACCACAAGAGTTTCTGACAGTTCCTGATAGTTGTTGTCTTGCAAAGGCACATGATGGGGTAACCAATATCCGTGCCAGTAGATCAGACTCTGGTCATTTAAAGTGGCCCTTCCCAGAACTGGACGGCTGAGCCTGTTGCTGCTAGACCTCCCAGAGTCATCTATTGCAGTTCTTATGATCAGGCTGGATCTTGCTAAGGTTGTGTTGAGCTTGGCCATAGTGTCTTTCTAATCGGTATTTAGCTTGTTAATGAATGTTGTGGGCAACCCAAAGGACAAACTACATTAAACTTATTTACACTGCATCACTCAAGACCATGGCCTTTGCTTGCCAGCTCGCAGGGTTTGGCCTGATGGCAAAACGTGACTGCTGCAGATGCCAGCAAAAAGTGTCGTTCAGGCTTGGGAATCGAGCGCTTGAACGAAGATGGTGCCGGCGGATATCGTGCAAGTCAACTTCCCCCTCTACTTTGACCACAGTTTATGCCATTTCAAAATCATGCAAAAGCTACAAGTCCAATGCAAGTCCCAGAGACATTAAAGCATTGAGAGGTTATGTGACTCATCCGTCTTCATCTCCTATATCAGAACATGCTTCCAAAACCTTCCAAAATCGACTTTCCGATCTGCCTTTGAGTGCAGACTCTCTGGACTCCTACACATATGTATTTGCAATGTCGAATCAAGAACGTCACAGCCGGGTTCATCAAGTGCGTGCTTTCAGAATTTGATTGAGTTGATGCTGGATTGACAATTGGTCTACCAACTATATTGGACTGCTCTTTTTTTCATGTGGTTGTCTTGTCGTGTTGACGCAAGCATTGAACGATTCACACAATTTGCCGTGGCCATCAGTGGCTCCGGGTGACCGCTGCCATACCAATGAAGCTTGTCAACGCCCCAGAGACGGTACCAAAAGACCGATCAAAGGGACAGAGCTGGTTGCCAGACCGATGCAGTTTACCCATAACATGGCACTGCAAGACTTTGCAAAATGATGCTTAATGTATGTGTGCATGAACGCAAGACAACCCACACACACACACATTTTCATAGTTTAGTCCAAGAACATGTTCACATATGACTAGTACGTACTAGTCCCAATTTGGCCATGGAAGCAATCTTGTCTTGTTTCTGAATGAAAGCAGTTGTCGCACCCTTCTTCAAGTCATGCCGAAAGAGATGAAAGGAGGACATTTTCGATTTTAAGTATCTAGAAGAAGTAACCACGATGACTTTTACACTCCACAGCTCGATTGGGGGTTCGGATGTGTTTTGTATGACTCTTCATACTGCCGCCTGACTCCTGCATGAAGGGTTCTCACCCCTCCCTTTGTTCAGAGGGCACTGCGGCTGCACATCTTCAGTTCTTTTGTGAATACTAAGCCCTTGTGAACTGAACTGGTATGGACATTCAAGCTACACATCAACATGAGACAGCGTGATGCTATTGAGGAAGCAGCAACAGCCAGACACATACGACATCCATCAACTCACAGCAGCTCACAGCATTGACTCTTCCATTTTCTCCTTCCATCCGTCCCTGCAATGCTGCCGTGTGCAGACCTTTGTTTTGCAAGATGATTTCCTGCTATGTTGGCCAAGTTATTCTGGCTTATCTCCCTGCCAGTAGCAGCAGAGGAGCCATGCAGTGTGAGAGTGGCCCACTGCATTGTTGGTCACGTGAGGACATTTTGGCAGGAAGCGGTTTACCAATCGATTGCTGACGTACTGGTCCCCCAAGCTTCACCGCGACATTGTGCAGATTTCTTCTACGTGCTGAGTATGTCCTCTGGTTTGGATACCGCCAAAGGAGGTGTCTATGAGTACAATGAGACCTTGCTTTGGAACACAGCATGGAGACGGCTGCCACCCACCAAATATCTGCTGGATCCGCCAAAACCTTCAGGTCCCAGACATTTGTCCTATCATCAGCCGGACTGTTTGTTCCAATGCGTTCAGATGTTCGACAAGGTTCGACTCTGTTTGGACTTGGTGAAAGAGCATGAGACGGAAACTGGACAAAGATATGACTGGATTCTGCGAAGCAGACCTGATCTTAGATGGGACGTTGAATCGCAACTTCCACCATTGCACCAGCTATCAAGCCAGCGCATATATTTTCCAATCACAAAGGAAAATGTGCAAGATTCCATATGCAAAGATCCAGTGCAGATCGTCCCGCGAAGTCTTGCGGAAGTTTTCTACGAGAGAATACTGGACAAGTGCCTGCTGCGGCGAGATATATACGGAGAAGTTTGGAACTGTGATCGTTGGATAGAGCGCTTTTGTGAGTCTGAAGGCATTCCAATTTCTCTTCTCAAGTTTCTTGCCGATGACCTGTATAAATTGTGCTGTCTTAGTTTCGTGCCACTTTGTTTGGATACGAATATATTACGTTCCTTTCCCTTTTTAGCTCATGACTGACTGCTCTCTAGATTCTAGATCAATGAATGTCAATACGGAGGTAAACATTGATCTGAATCTCAAAGCTTGCAAGGTTGAGTGCCACCATTCAGCGCCTACCCAACATCAAAGACGGCTTCTTTGATTACCACGATCAGTGGTTTCAGCACATCAAGTTTGCACAGCAGCTGTTTCCAGATTCAATTTACCTTCTCGGGAACGAAGATCAGGTAATCAAAACAGAAAGCGGAAGGAAATGGTCGAATGATACCGAAGCCATTCCAGCAGGCCTTGAACCGGAAGAGGGATGCAAAACTCTGGCAGACAGTCAATTCTGCATGCCTTGCAATGCGTACTTGAGTCTTGCCATGTCTTGCCTCTTTTAGGGTCGTAGTGTGTGTGTGTGTGTCATGTTTCGTAAGAGTGTGGGATAGCATGATATAGATTGATTCAGTGATATGGCATATTATGGCATACTTTAGGCATATAGTGACATTAATGTGGCGTACTCTAGATAGGCGGCTCGTGAGTTTTGAAAGATTCACTGGTTTTTATGTTCTGCACCATTTGGAGCCTCTGGCCTTCATCTATTTTTGGCCCCGCAGAGCCGCAGAGGATGCATTTGCGATTTGCTATTAACAAATCCGCCTTGCGCAAGATGGAAGACATCAACTTTGGTATTTGGCGCACCTATCCTCGGAATATCAGAGACCTCGGGGGACGAAACTCCAGATTTCTTCGAAACGCAAGCCAGTTCTGGTTTAAAGTTTGGTTTCCAGAGGTGCCTTGCAAGAAGCATAAGAAGCATGATGAGGCATGTCCTGTTTTGCTGCTTTATTTGAGGATTGAGACTCCAGGCACCAGGCAACCCAGAACGGATGGGTTTGTGTTGGTCCAAGATGGTCCAAGGTCAAAGCGGAACATGCTCAGAAGGAAAGCCAAGAGAGCGCAGACACAAACAGCGCGGAGGTACCGTTTTACTACAACCTTTGGACTCCAGTTCTTTTGCGAAGAGGCAAGGCGGCAAGACGTCTGAACTTCCCAGCCTCATGAAGTAATGAAGGAAGGGAAGCGTCGAGTCTGTAGAGATATTTAGCAGCAAGTTATATAATTTGTTTGATATTTGTTTGGCTGTTGAACAATATTAAGTCATAGCGAAGAATCAACGTGCCAGCAGCCCCGAAGTACAAGACTACAAGACCAAGTGGCTGCCCAAGCCGGACCCCACAATGACCTTGTTGGATGTTCTGGACGGATCTCTATGGATCTTTTGAGCCCATACAAATTACACAGAGAATGGCAGTACCACAACTCATTGGTTTTGGATGAATTTCAGTCGAAGGGAGTTTTGATCAATTTGACATCCTTTTGCGCAAAAAATGGTCACTTCATGTCACTTCCTAGAATTCCGTCAAATTGCTAGGATTTGGGAGGTCCAGGAGGTGATACTTCCCATCAGGTGATTGCATCTTTTGGACTTCATGCGCGCGGAAGTACGTGGAGGATGTGAGACTTCCCGAGCCAAGGACTCTCCGATGTATTTGAAATTTGTTTGCAGTCAGTGTAAATGGGTTTGTCTGAAAAATAGGGTACACCAAAATCCCATGGTTTATCATGGTTTATCATCGTTTATGATGATTTTCGAATACACCATTTCCAGACATAGCACATTTTGCCTGCACAGTTTCACTCCATGGGATCTGCTGGACTCTATCCAAGTTTTTTAGTCGGGGAGGACCGCATGCTGTAGAGTATTATCAGATAGATGTAATAATAATAATAATATATACTAGACTATACTATACTATACTATACTACACTACACTACACTACACTACACTACACTACACTACACTACACTACACTATACTATACTATACTATACTATACATTACATACATACATTAATTCGATCTAGCGCTCATGACTTGTCATGTTAGTGTTTACTTCAACATGGGTGTTTAGGTTCAGGCTCCCCCGTAGGCAGAGGAATTCTGTTTCGGATGGGGGATGCGCTGCAAGATGGTGCAGCCCAGGGGAGCCCAGCCGACGTCGGGGCGATCCTGGGTGTGCTGCGCAGCGTTGGCTTGGTGGGGCCAAAACTGGCTCTCCAGCTCGGGGAGGAGCCGGTCCTTGCCAAGCAACTGGCAGAGAGGGCAGGCATCCCTTATGAGGGGTGGGTGCTAGACCTGGTTCGCGCTCAGGTGAAGGGCGCGTATGACGACCTGGGCCTTGACATAAGGTTGGCAGGTAGCGCAAAGACACCAGGGCAGCAGGCAGTAGACGATGCAGTCCACTGCATGACCAAGCCCCAAGCCTCAGCGGCAAGCTCAGAGGTGGTCCCGCAGAAGAGGACGTCAGTTGAGGTACCCCAGAGGGGAAAGATGTTGAGGATCCCGAAGGGGAAGCCGCTGCAGGGGAAGGCCGGGGAGCCTGAGGATGAGGCCATTCTACGGGTCTTGTTTGAGGAGTTGGAAATGATGGGGGCCCCAGTGGTGGCCCAGGTCCTGGCGACGGCGAACCCTGACCGGGCGAAGGCCGCGCTGCTGGGCAAATACCGTGCCTCCACGGTCAAGAGGTACCTGGCCTATTGGCAAGGCTTCAGAAGATGGGTGGGCAAGGGCTACGGCAAACTACCTTGCCAAGGTGAGCAGCTGGTGGACTATCTCCTTGCAAGGGAAGAGGAAGGGATGGGACCGTCCGTCCCACTCTCTGTCGGGAAGGGTGTTGCCTGGTTTGAGAAGCTGGCTGGCTTCGACCAGGAACAGATGATCAGCGCAGCACCCTTGGTGGACACGGTCACAAGAGACCTCCTGAAGAAGTTGGAGGAGAAGGCACCGCCCAGGAAGAGGGCCCCAAGGATGTTGTCGGCATTCTTGCCGGCACTAGAGAGGCTGGTTGTCAACAAGGACCTGGAGCCGAGCATCCGTGCAGGAGCATGGGTGAAGTTGCTGAAGGTGTGGGCCTCATTGAGGTTTGATGATGTGGCTCACATGAAGCCAGAGATGCTGAGGGTGTATGACAAGAAGCTCTCTGGCCTCATGAAGAGGACGAAAACGCCCGGTGGCGGGAAGAGGGTAAAAGGGCGTCATTGTGGAAGGGGGCCGTGAGTTGCTGGTACCTGCAGGAACAAGCTGCGGCGAACCGGAGGATGGCCTAGTGATGACGTACCAAGAGGCAGTGGCATGGAGTACAGAGGTGATGCAGGCTATGAAAGATTGGAAGGGAGAGCAGCTCATACCACATGGGTGGGAGCGTTACTGGACGGAGCACAGTGAGCGTGCAACCCTCTCCAGTGGCCTAGCAGCGCTGGGCACACCAAAGCCAGAACGTGACCTCTTAGGGAGGTGGACGCCTGAGGGTTCAGACCAGTATGTCCGCACATACAACGCGGCCATCAGCCGTATGCAGGAGAAGTTTGCGGAGCCAGTGAGGGACTGCTACGGCTATGCAGCCTTTGATGAGGGAGCCATTTTGGAAGACCTCAAGGTGTGGCTGAGTGAGAAGTGGTCTGTGGATGAGAAGGAGGCAGGCGCTGCAGTAGAAGCCTGGAAGGAGAGGTTGAAGCCCTGGAAAGGGTTCGTGAGCATGGTGCAGGAAGGGGACCCACAGCCGAAGGAGCAACTGTCCTCGAGCTCTTCCAGCAGTAGCTCGTCAGAAGGCGAGGGCGAGACAGAACAGAAGAAGCGGAAGGTGGAGAAGCTGGAGGCAGAAAGGGAAGAAGGCTACATAGTGGTCTACAATAGGATCAACCGAGGCAAGTTGCATGTGGCTGGCAAGTATGGGTGCTGGATGGCACGCCAAAGGAAGTTCAAGCGGGCAGAGCTGTTCAACGAGCGGCCTGATGAGGGGGCGTATACTACGCATTGTAGGCTTTGCTGGCCGGACCTCAAAGTAGGCTCGTCGTCGAGCGACTCAGAAGATGAGTTGGTAGGCAAGGATCCTGCGGCTGAGCCAATGAGCGGCCAGTGGGAGCATTTGTACAGAAAGGAGGCTGAGGCCTTTGACAACTGGCCGGAGTGAGCCAGAGTTTCCCCCAGACGGAAAATTTTTCCTGCAGATTGCGCAGGGTGGTAGTGAAGTCCTGTGGAGCCCACAGGCCGGGCCTGGGGTCGCACCCCGGGCGGGCCCCCCAGGTAGCACCTGGGGGGAGGGTTGGCAGCAGTGAAGTGTTCTCTGCATGTAAGGGTTGTGCGGAAGGCTGTTAATCCGCAGACGGTGGCTCAAGGTGGCGCCCGGCATGCCGCCGATCGTGCTCACAGAAGAGCAGCGGGCGGAGGCCTTGAGGAAAGGCAATGCTGACCTCAAGTTTTTACTTGAGCGGAATGAGGTGCCGCCAGAAGTGGCAGCTCAGTGGTTCCACGCTGGAGTCACTACCTTGGAGAAGTTTGCTAACATAGCAAAGGATGTCATCGACCTTGCCTCGGTTCTAAAGGAACACCTGGGAGTGGACCAGGATGCATCCCTGGAGGCACGTGTGCAGGTGGCCGCTGTCACTTGTGCGTGGACGAACGCACGAACCAGGGTGCTGAGGGCGGCAGAGGTCGAGGCCGAGCTTGACACTAAGGAATGGAGGAAGCCCATCGCCACTACGGAGTGGTTAGCTATGAGAACTGGGCTGGAGAAGGTAGTGGGTACCTTGGATGAGCGCCTCACACCGGCGAAGGAATATGTAGAGAAGAAGTTACAGGAGGTAGAGGCCGGAGACTACAGAGCTGAGGAGATGGCAGAAGTGGTGAGCCGAGAGGAGGTTGACCCGGACAGCCTTGTCCCACAGTGGGATGCTAAGGGCAACATAACCGTGAGAAAAGGGTCAACACGTGTCAAAGACCCGGAGAACCCAGAGGCGTTGAGGCACAGGCTAACAGTGATGAGGAACGCCTGCCAGATGGTGGCCCTCAGGCATACGAACCGGCCTGAATTGCAGGGTGACTACATGAAGGTGTTTGAAGACTACAAGGACTACCTCCTGGGGGAGCACGTCTACGGTCTCAATGCCCGGGATGCCGACGGGATGACGGTGGCCGCGCCACCATTCCGGCTGGTCCTGGCCTATGAGAGGGCAGTCAGGAAAGAGGCAGCCAAGAAGATGAACCAAGAAGGTGTCGCCTTCCCAGTGGCCCTGAAGATGGCGTGGAGGGACCCAACTACCAAAGAAAGGCATTTCACGACGCCGCTAGCACTCGTGGCAAAACGCCCGGGCGGGCCCCAGCAGGCGCAGCAGTGGGAGGCGACAGCACCCAAGAAGCAGAAGTTCGAGGCGAAGGGCACCCGGGAGAAAGGCAAGGGCAAAGGCAAGCAGTTGGCAGGGTGTGCTTCACACAACAAGGAGGGCACGCCGATCTGCTACAGGTTCAACACGGCAGGAGAGAAATGCAAGCCCAAGAAGTGCAAGTTTGCCCACCAGTGCGGCATATGCTTCTCGGACAAGCATGCTATGTTCCAGTGTTCGGCGGGGAAGCGCCAACCGCCCGACACTGGCGGGAACGCCTGAAGGTTCACAGTGCTGTACCTCTTCTCAGGGAGGAAGAGGAGGAATTCGCTTGCCTGGTTTATCAGGCGGCTTGCAAAGAAGTTTCACTACATTGTTGAGGTGGTGGAGGTGGACTTGCGGCATAGTCGCAAGGCAGACTGCACACAGCCTGAGGTACAGAAGAAATGGCTGCAGTTTATAGACTCAGGAGCTGTGGACGCGCTGGTAATCACACCGCCATGCTCGACATTTAGCCGGGCAACCTGGGCCAACGAAGAGGGTCCTTTCCCTCTGAGATCCTCAGAGTGCCTCAGGGGTTTCACCTGGAATTCTCCCCAAAGGAGGAGAAAAGCCACGCTGGGCAACGTTTTAGCAGACTTCTCCTTTGAGGCGATGAAGCGGCAGCTACGCATTGAGGGCAAACTGGCCTTCATGGAACAGCCCGAGGATCTTGGGCGGACGAACGGCCAGCGGATTCCGGGGCATCGGCCGGGCTCCATGTGGCAGTTCCCACAACATGAGGAGATCCTCCAGCTCCCGGGGGTTAGATCGGTCGCCCTAGCACAGCTCGACTTTGGCGCGGAGAGTGTCAAGCCGACACGTCTCCTTATGCGCACCTCTGGGCAACTACACCCTGAGATGTATGAGGGCCTTCCGCAATTGGATGGAGATGGTTGGTACCTGGGGCCACTCCCCAAGAAAGCTGGCAAGCCTTTAATAGGCAAGCAGGGCGGAGCCTTCCGCACAGCTGGAGCAGCAGCGTGGCCAGCAGGCCTTTGTAGCTGGGTGGCGGAACAAATCCTGGCCGCGTTCCAAATGAACAGTGAGTCAAGGGGTGGCCAGGTAGGTGAGGAGAAGAAGAGGGGAGCTGCAGCAGAAGTGGAAGGAGCCCCCCTGCGAAGAGGCCCCGGAGGAGCACAGTGGAGGAGGAACCCCTGGAGACAAACCCGTTTGACCCGCCGGTGAAAGGAGGGCAGGGGCTTCCCAGATGTTGCACTTGGAAGGGCAATGCCGTGCCGTTCCACGATGGAGGCTGCCTGATGTCCCCTGGAAGGTGGGATGTAGATAAGCGGGTCTTCCCACAGGACAAGGAGTGGAAGAGGCTGAGGCTGAGGCTGAGGAGTATTATTGAAGAGGCAGCAGGCGGAGAGACAGGCCTGGAAAAGGAATGTTTTGCGATGGCCACGGGAGAGAAGGGGTGCAGGCTTGTCCAGGACGAAGAGGTGAGGCAGCGGCTGCTGAATGTGCTGGAGGAGTTCTGCAGGAGCAAGGGAGCGAGAGGAGACGTCCTGAGAGTCGCGGAGGGCCAGCCATTCAGACTAGAGCTGATGAGGCAGCTTTTGGAGTACGCCGGTGACAAGGACTGTGAGTTCTTGGCGGCGGCAGAGGAGGGCCTCCCCCTGGGGGTAAAGAATCCCCTCCCCCGTACACCCTCCGCCTTCGAGAGGCAGGTGGAGTGGGCTCTGAAATACGACCCCCTGGTTGCCTGTCTGACAGAGAGGCCGAACTACCCATCTGCCAAGGAGCATGAGGCCCATTTGAGGAGCCACCTTGAAGAGGAGGTCAAGGAAGGCCGGATGTCGAGGCCGGAATTTGAGCAAAGGTTTGGTGAGGAGAGGGCGGTCGCGGCCTTGGCAGTCCTGGTCGAGGACGAGATCACTGGAAAGAGAAGGGTGATCCATGATGGCTCGCATGGAGTCAGGGTAAACCACAGGATAAGGTGCCAAGACAAGCTACGGATGCCTGGGGGAAGAGAGAAGCGCTTCCTGTTAAACAGGTTCAGGAGAGCCAGAGACGTGGTTTTCTCCCTGATAGGGGACTTTGGTAAGGCCCACAGGAGATTCAAATATGTGGAGGAAGAGCATGGGTACCTGGCGTGCAAGGTGTCAGAGGAGGACCCATGGATCTACGTGAACCGGGTTGGCACCTTCGGGGTAGCCTCCACGCCGTATTGGTGGGGGAGGCTGAGTGGTGCGTTGTTGAGGCTAGGGCACTGTCTTGTTGGCCCAGCCCCGTTAGAGGCGCTCCTCTATGCGGATGACCTGGAGACCATGGGAATTGGCAAAGAAGGAAGGAGGTGCCAGGTGCTGATGTTTGTGCTGCTGGCGGCCCTAGGAGCGCCTTTTAAGTGGAAGAAGCAGCGTGGCGGTATGACCACGGAATGGATAGGGCTCACCTCAGACTTTGGGAGGTACTCTATGGGCCTATCTGAGAGGAGGGCTGCATGGCTGGTGCAGTGGATTGGTGGCCTCTGCAGCAAGAAGATGGTGTTGCCCAGGGAGTTTTCAGCTGGGCTAGGCAGATTAGGATTCGCAGCGACAGTGCTGCCGTGGGAGCGTCCTTTTCTTGGCCCTCTCTACACCTGGGGAGCGGCGATCAGGGAGCAGAAGGGCGAAGTTTACGTTCCCTGGGCCGTGCTCACGATACTTGACTGGATAGCTGGGAGGCTGAGCAGTGGTGGCCGCATGGAAGTGGTGAAAGACGACCATGGAGAGGACGCGAGTGGTTTGGCGTTCTATACAGATGCCAGAGCATCAGAGGTGGACGCATGCATAGGGGGGTATTTAGCCTCCTCTACTAACATGAAGGAGTGCCCGTGGTTCAGCTTCAGGGTGGATGAGAGGATGGCGCCGTGGTTGAGGAAGAGGGGCAACAACCCAAAGAGGATGATCGCGGCGCTTGAATTGCTAGCGACCCTGGTGGCTCTGAAGCTATGGGGCGGTAGAGGTACCGGGGGCATGAAGGCGAGGGCAAAGGCCTTCACGGACAACAGAGGTAATGCGTTTGCTGTGGTCAAGGGTATGAGTACAAAGTACCCGTTGACCCTGCTCCTGATGGAGCTCACTGAGGAGCTGAGGTCGAGGGACATGAGGCTGGATTTGGAGTGGATCAAGAGGGATGAGAACACGCTGGCGGATGCCCTCAGCAATGAGGATTGGTCCGAGTTTGATGAGAGCCTGCGAGAAGTGAGGAGACCTGAGGAGATAGGCTGGAAAGTTTTAGACCAGCTCCAAGTGAGGAGTGATGATCTCTACAGTGAGATCCAGTCCCTCAAAGAGCAGCGCTCTTTAGGGAAGGCTAGGAAGGCCCCTGTCAAAACCAACAGGGCGGCCGGTAAAGTCCTCCCCAAATGGTGAGTGACAGGTAGAGGGATTAGCCCCCGATCTAAGTAAGATGCTTGATCGATGGGGCCAGCACTCACTGGGAGGCCGTCGTCGTGTTAAAAAAGGGAGGCCTGTAAACCCCATGAATTGTGAACGCGCTCATGACTTGTCATGTTAGTGTTTACTTCAACATGGGTGTTTAGGTTCAGGCTCCCCCGTAGGCAGAGGAATTCTGTTTCCCTGCCCCCCCCTCCCAGAATTCTCTCCCGGACGCTCCGGGACGGTTTTATCCCCGAACATTTGTAGTTTAGGGATTAGCCCCCGATCTAAGTAAGATGCTTGATCGATGGGGCCAGCACTCACTGGGAGGCCGTCGTCGTGTTAAAAAAGGGAGGCCTGTAAACCCCATGAATTGTGAACTATATTATATATAGATTACCTATATATATATAATATATAGATTTATAAGTAAAGGGGCAGTATTTCCATAGGTTTAAAATTTGTCGCAGGCCTCAGGCAAGCTCGCTTTCAGGACACCATTGTCACGTGAGTCCCGCGTGTTGGCCTCCGCATCTGGAACCCTTCCAGCAGCTCCACGCATGAAACATCCTGTTGGTCCCTTTCATGCAGTGCAGCCAAGACTCCACAGAAACTTGGAAAGAACTTGGATGCAGTTTCTTTAATATCAACCCTGGATTAATAAACATGTTTTTCCTTTTTTGGGGATACTATTTTGGAAGCAGATCATCACTATTTGATTATATTTAATTAATTGAGAAGGCTTCATGTTTCTTTTGATTGCCTCTCAGGTTGGCTTCACTTGAAACCTCTTCATCTCCTTATTGCGTCCTCTCCTGCTGACCACATACCACATTCACCTCTTTCCAGATTCCCTCTTGTTCCTGATTCCCTTTCTTTCCTGCCAGTGTTGATGATTCCCTTTATTTCCTAATTTGTTTTTTCTTCCTGAGAACATATCCATATGCTCCATACCCAAAACATCCCAAAACCATGATGCTTCTTTTTCCTTCCATGTTGCCTTTTCTGAACGCCAGCTTTGGGTCGTTCCAAACCGATGCGAATTCAACCTTTGGGTCCCCCATAGCAATTTCAATGGGACAATTATGATAAAAGACTGGATGTTTGGGGGAACCATATATTAACCATGGGGTACCTGTTTTCAGATTTGTCAGACTGACAAACCCATGAAAAATCCCAAGAGACGCTTCCGCTATCTTTCTTCGCCTTGTACCACTCCACCAACAATTTAAAGACTGTCAACACCCTAACCTGAGGCGCTGCATTCACACTCATCAAGCAAATGCCTGCACTCTAAGCATTCTAAGCGTTGTGACAGCTGAGTACAGCTGAGCTTGCATGAACATCAGTGTGCTTTTGGGCCAACCAGTTCTCCCAGATGCCGAAGGATGCGCAGGCGAAGTTGAGCTCCCCGGAGCCCTGGAGTTGCTCCGGAGCTCGAAGTGGATTCGGCGGTCCGGCGGCCTCCATGATTCACTCGCTGTTTAGAGATGGACCAAAAAGACTTCTGTGACCTTCGAGCTTTCGATGCATGCTATAGCTGCTATAGGTCTTGCATGAGAAAAGTACACATGCGAATCTCAGCAACATAAATCAAATCAATCAGATGCTATTTGATGCTATTTGAATCTTTGAGTCACCTTTGAGGTCTGGATCTTGGGCCTGGTGGCTCATGTTGCTGCCGAGAAGACGGTGGGGTGCTGCCTTCGTAAGCCATGTCAAACCTGCTTCTGGGTGAAGTGTACTGTATATTCTGTATATTATCATGTAATTATTCTGTATATAAGATCATAAATTGTACTATATATATATATGAGATACGGTCAAAATAAGCGTAGATTACTTTAGTAAGGGAGGGTCCAATCGTGTTGAGAAAATGCACCAAACCATGTAAAGCGATAGGGCCCCTCCCAAAAAGCGATAACCTGTAACCATCTGTGGGCAAAATTGATCAAAATTCAACCTGCAGTACCAGGCATAAACAATTGATTTTGACGGCGGCTCATATATATATATATTGTTGCTATTATTATTATTACTAATTATTATTACATATTATTACTATCATCAGTGTATATATATAATATATATATACATATTCTTGGATGTTTTTTTTTGGTGCATCCCCTGTATCCCAAATCATGCACTAACGTTTTTCCTGCCACAGCTTGAGCAGCATTGTTGTTTTGCAGGTAGCATCGTTGCGGATCAAGCAAAGTCCAGATGAGGTGCTTGGAGCCTAGCGGCCTAGCGGACCAGCAATGAGAAAACCTGAGCAGTGCCTCTTTTTTCCCGAGACAACATACAATAATTAGAATATATTAGAATCAATAGAATTCGTTAGCATTCCTTAGCCATCTTTTTATAGTTTGTACTGATATGCGCAACCTTTTTTTTAGCACGCGCATGCCTACTGTATCAACTTTGCCTTGCCAGAGCACGCTCAAGCCTTTGCAGTTCAATCAACTGGAGCTGGCATGGGGTTCCTGGCCGTGCTTAGGCTGACATACGAGGAGAAGCGAACACCACCCACTCCTTTGGAGGTCTCTCAGCTATCATTTCCCAAAGCCTGGCGAGGTGACGGGGAATTTCATGGACTAAGATGTTCTAGGAAGGACAAGTTGTACTGTACCCGCCACTTGAAAGGCTCTGAAGGCAAGAAATACAGCAGTTGGAGCTTTTGGGCTGCAGAAGTGACCTGTCTTGCTATGCCGGCTGCAAGGTACTGAGTGAGAAGACGGCTCTGGATGCCTTGAAGGCCTCGGTCCAGCATCAGCGGTGAGCTGCCACTTCAATGAGCCTTGGAGAGCCATACCGAACCTGTTGCGGAGGCCAGATCGGCTGCTGCAGCTGCGCCCGGGTGCCCATTTGATGTTGTCAGCCTGTTTCTTTCTACAGGGTACTTGTACTTCCACCGTCGAACTCTGGACACATTAGGACATAATTAGGACATGATTAGGACATAATTCCAAAGATTTCCAGAGACAGTTTGCCTAGCTCTCAGGGAGGGTGTGTCACAGCAGATCGAGACTCTCACTGCGGCTGGACATGCTCGCAGGGATCCTCGGAGAACGATTTGGACCAACTAAAAGTAAAAGTACTGAACTGAAATCCAAACTTCCAAACATTGAAGCTTTTTGAAGATGTTGGATCATCATGGATCATCCAGTTGGATCATTCAATGATCAGTCACGATCCTCCTGGGTGACTTTGCGTCGTCTTCGCCATCAGGTGCTGCTGCAAGGGGCGCACAGAAGGCTGCCCAAGCAGCTCGGAAGGCCGATGAGGGAATGCGTGTATGTGCAGGGACAGGCTCTTCTGAGCGGTTATTGAACCAGCCGTTGAGGTACACTTTGAGATCTTTATATAATAATCTATCACAATCTATCTATGTTTAAAGTAGCATATCCGTTTTTCGTTACACTTAGATAGTCGCAAGGGAGACTTTGCAGTGCCTCCCCACATGGCATGGCTCTGCGCAGGACTTTGAGGCAACAAAGGAAGATACAACGGCACGGCCTGCGATATTTGATGCATGGTGGGTGGGTCTGAAAATCGGGGTATACGGTAGACCATGGATTGAACGATTGAACTGGCAATTTTAGGAGAATCATGGTTACCATGGGATCATGGGAGAGGGTAGCTTATTTTCAGACACACCCGTATGGACAAGTTGTGACAGGTATGACAAATTTCATGCACAGCTGAACGTGATTCTTTGATATTTTCTCGTGATATCTTTGATGCCTCAACCTTTTGCTCAAGCTCAAAGTTTTACTCTCCCACCAAATCACGAACTTCTCAAATTACGAACTTCGACATGTATTCCTTCCGTGCTGCACAGCTGTTTCTGCTCTTTGAGCAGATCTATGCTGCAGCATTGTTGCGTAAGACCACTGCTGGCGCCAATGCTATTCAGCAGCTTGCTGAGCAGTTGCCCCGTGGAGTGACCAGAGAGCTGTTCCAAAGCTTCTCGATCTGTGGGTCGTGCAATACTTGGAAGCGATTTGGGGAAGAAAATGATGGTGGCTATTTGCTTTGCATGGACTCCTTGAATGCTTCCGATTTGAAAGCCGCTTACTCCATGGGTGTGCAGAAACATGATCAGTTCTCCTTAGACGTTTACAAGGCCTTCAACGTCCCTGTCTTCCAGTACGACTGCACTGTTTCGCACCCTGCTCAAATCTGTGACAAGTGTCAGTTCTTCCCAGCTTGTTTGAGCTCGAAATTCCCGGGCAAGACTAGCTGGACCTTGAAGGAGGCCATTGAGCAGTCGAAGATGTTGGATGTGCCGGATCGCAGCTTGCTGATGAAGATGGACATTGAGCGTGGAGAATGGCCGACACTGCTGGAAGCCGACATCTCCTTGCTGAAGAAATTTCGACAGCTGCTCATTGAGTTCCATGGTCTCTGGAAGGAAAAGCAACATGCCAAATTCCTCCAAGTGATGCAGAGGTTGAAGAGCGCAGGCTTCAAGGTGGCACATGTCCACGGCAACAACTACGTGGGAGTTTATCGCAATGGGCGATTCATGCTCCCCAGAGCCATTGAGGTGACCTTGGATGCATCCCTTCCCTTGTTGGACAAATGTCATGATCCCAACTATGAGTTGCTGGACCGGCCAAACAAGATGGGAAATACGGACATTGTTGGCATGCACACCGAGCCGACCTTGCTCGAGGTGCCAGTCGAGAAAGCCAAGCACTGAGAGACAGTCTGAGGATCCGAACTAGATGAAAGGGTCCTGCCTTTGCTGCCATTATTTGGTGGGAACATTTAAAGGAAACATGCCGTTTTTAATCGTTTTTACCCCCAATTCATTGCGTGCTCACACATAAATTGGGGGGTGCAAACAGCATTTTTCCATATTTTTCCCGTAGATTTTCCCACCAATCCCTGGATGACTGGATCACTGGGTTCCAGCTATGCCCAGCTATGCCAGGATCTTCTCCGAGCAGCAGAAGAGGCCGAAGAGCTGGCGAGATCCGTCAGAATCTCAGCGGGTGCAGTACATGACTGATACAAAGTATCCAAGAAAACCGTGTACAGCAAAAATAGCCATAGTAAAATAGCATGCACCATTGTTGTATACAGAGATTCACGTATATATACGTATATATATATATATACAATATATATATATAAGTATACATATAATATCATATATGATTATACATAGAACACTTATATATATATATTTAATTATATATAATATTATATATATACACGTAATTCTGTATATGATTATATAAACACATCCAAGAATAGATCAGTTGACTAGTATACAGATCATAGGCCCTGACAACCGCCTGCGGAAAGGACCCCACATACCCCTTGATCCAAATCTGACTCTTGTTCCGAAGGCTACTCACTCTATCAAGATTGGTGTGAGCCTCAAATATGCCGACGGAGACATAGGTGAGGCCTGCACTGACTTCGGGCAGCTTTCAACCACGGGAACTTTAAGACTCTTGGCTGTTTTCATGCCATTTCAGAGAGGAAGGTCTTCCAGATAGATACCACAGGCACACACATACACATACACCTAAATCATTTTAAATCTTTGCCAAGTGAGGGTGGCCCATCTCTGTTCCATGAGGTACTGATGCCGTTGCAGACATTCCTGTCCGGGCAGACGGCTTGGTTGGTCGACGTGTGGTCCGGGCCTAAGCTCTTCGGAGGTAGATGTGGGTTTGCAGAAATGGAGTTGCCCGAATTATGGTCATTTTCATGAAGAAAGTGATGATACATTGATACAGTGGAACCGTTGGATAAGAACCGAATAAGAACTTTTGAGGGTACCCTGGCGTTCTTAAGTCAATGAAGGATCCATTTTGAGGTATTAAGGCTGAGGGCACCCTCAAGTTCTTACATGTAAGTTGTTATTTTACATCGCCCGCAGGGTTCAAAGTCACACAAAACCCAATCGAAGGGTGTGACCAGCGGTTTCGACGTAGACTTTGTATTTTTCAATCAAATCCATGTGCTTTCGGCAAGGACTTGAAACTGGCGAAACCATTGCGAGACTTCATGGAATGGAAGGCAGCATGGTGTTGCATATGGCTATTGAATGCTATTGATCAATACTTCGAATATACGACTTTGACCGGGATGAACATCCAGCATCATCCAGCTATTTTAGATTTTGATGTGAAAACCAAGGAAGCACCAGGGTATTGATCCATCCCTGTTCGATTGGGACATGTTAGCGGCCACGGTCGGCTTCGGCTTGGTGTTCACTTCTTTTGCTCGCCAGGCCAAACATGATTTGGCAACGCCAGATTGAACTTGATATCTACTTCCAAAGGAAGCCAAAGGAAGCCGGGAGCGCTCGCTGAGAAATTGCCACAGAGAGTGCCGCAAAAAACTGATCATGGAATGTGGCAAGGGGGGGTACTGGGAGATACTCCATTCTTGCAAACAGGATGTATCTCCAAGTATTTATCAATATGTGTGGCCGCCCGGCCGCCCTGACTTCACTCCCCACCTGGAACACATCATGCTGAGAAACTTCCCCACAAATCCCGCGCATATTTCGAGCATGATGGGCAACTCGGGGGCAATCAGTTGCAAGAAAGACCGCCTCACTCAATTTTCCCCCATTGACAGTTTCAGTATCAATCTGATGGCCACAGTCGCAGCACTTTTGCTATCTCAAACTGAAGCTGGCAGCACAACAAGACCGTGGGGCAGCATTTGTCAAGACATGTCAAGACCCAAACTTTGAAATATGTCACAATGCCTTTTCACTGTCTTGATGCCATTTGGAAAAGTCCATAAAAGTCCACTGGCAAAATGGAGAGATGTCACTTTGGCAAGTGAACTTGGGTTTATTGTGGTTGATTAAACCCCACGTCAGATTGCGATGCGTCATGTATTGTCCTTTAGTTATTTAGATACTTTGGAGCAATGTGACTGTCAAACGGTTGAATTGCCGGCAATCATGGAGGCCCATGACTGTACCGATTTTACACTCTGGGCATTTGTAGGCTGTGATTGAGTCTGTATTAACAAACAGACCCGACCGTTGAGGTTTGCCAGCTCGCCCTTCTCAGCATAGATGCGAACCGTCAAAGATGCGCAATCATCAAATGTTTCAGCTGATGCCAGGATGTTTTGCTGGGCTACTTAGGGCAGAAACTCGAAGAGGAGATGTCATTCATTCTCTTTGGTTAGCTGGCAATTGAACGTGGACAAGTACAGTACCCTTTGGATGTCATGTCAATGATTCTCAATCTGCAGGGTTGCACTTGAATTGGTAGCTGCATTGAGAATATTCCTGTGAAGCAGCGCTGCAAGCTAACGAGGAGCCGGGTTTGGATATCCGCTCCAGCCGATTTGGAGGTGCAAACAGAGCAAGCAGATTCTATTGTACGGACGTAGTCTATGCATGTCTATGCCAGATTCCACTGTATTTGTCCGTGTCCAGTCCCATGTAAGGGATGTTTGGGCTGACACAGTTTTTCACTTTCTTGTGTGGTTCAAGATTGCCTGACAAACAATGACTATGAGCTCATATGACGAGCTCTGCTATGCACTTGACCTGTAGCACCTGTAGCACCTGTAGCACCTGTAGCCCTCCCTGCAAGACTGGGCACGTGTGTTTTCTTGCAGGAGCAGTGGTTTGGAACACGCAACCATCTGCAGAGTCTTCAGTCCAAAGGCAAGCACACATCTTATCATATCTTATCCAAGTGTTTATCCAAGTGTTTGATAATGTTTGATAATGTTTGATATCTTCATGGCAGTGACAGCTTCAATTCCACGGATATCCTGGGATGAAGATCCCTCCTGTCGAGCGCTGACAGGAAAGACTACTTGACCTGTGGTATTTGCGGTGAACATCTGGCAGGTTCCTCAGCCATGATGCAATGGTTGCCACCAGCATCCACCTGCAGTGTCGTTTCTAACCGTCAGATCCGTCAGTACAATCTGTGTTGTCATGATTTATCAATGTTGATCATGATTTGGTTCCGCAAAATATGCCAATGCTGTCAACGCGCACGATTTGATGATATTTGACTCCTAGAATTGATTTTGGCAGAATCGAAGGACCAGTAATCAGTAAAATAATTGGTATGTCAACTTTGATTGACTGTCACATTTGTTGTTGGCATCCCTTGTGCAAGGTGCTGTTTGTGCAACTCTCTGCTGGCTATGGTGATTATCCGAAGCGCTCGCTCTACGTCTTCGGATGCCGTACAAGTGCGTGCGGTCAGTCACCCAGCAGATCGGAAGAGTTCCCAACAATCCCCTTTTAGGGGGTGCTCGTTGCGCAACAGCTGATGCCTCTTCTTCAACTCAGCTCTGCATATTCAGAAGTGGAATGGAAACACATGGAAATCATGGAAACACTACCAACGCAAAACTACCCAGGTGTATCCAAATTTTCTTTCTTTATCTTTCATTGAACCTCCAATCAGGTCTTGATGTGAAGGCCTGGCGTGTACTGCGAAGTGCTCTACCAGCTCTACCACTGAGGTCTTTTGAATGGTGTAAGATCAGCATTTGTGAAATGACTCAAGGGTGATAGAGATGATTTCTTATCCGTTCTGTTGTTTTTGATAGGTACTGGACCTCTTTGTTCCCAGGCACGGTTTTTGCTCTTCAGCATGTTGGGTTCAAATCTGCAATTCTTGGGAGACCCCACATTTCGGACACAGCCATGATAGTCATTACCCATAGGATCCATGTATGGTATATATGCTAACATTGGGGGTATATTGATGGTAAATGTTACCATATATAGCATACATGGATCCTATGGGTTATAGTTTGGCATTGGCATTGGTATTGACTTAACTATACAATTAATCGGACATCATCATCGGCCCAGCTAGATGGCAGGCTAGACAAAAGGAAGCCTCGCCAGCTGAAGCAAAAGCAGGTGCAAACGCGATGACTGAGCAGAATAGTTGACCACGGTTGACCAGCATGTGGATTGCTTTGGTCCACTTGGCTGGGATTTGGAAGTTATATATATATAATTATATATATATCATACTGGTTGGTGGTTTGGAACATTTTTTTCCATATATTGGGAATAATCATCCCAACTGACTAATATTTTTCAAGATGGTTAAAACATGTTAAAACCACCAACCATATATATATAATACCAACTCAATCCAATTCATAGCGCAACTATTTTTTGAAGCTACTTGGGATCACAAAAAACACCGTCTCAGTGGATTCTGATTAGGCGGATATGCCAGCTACGTCCTTGACAACTCCGACGATTGGGGCACCGATGATTGGAGTGTTTCTGGAGGTGGGAGGAAGAACACAATTACTTAGTTAAACAGTAAAGATGTAAAGCAATAATGAACCATGTTTTGATGATTTACACCACCCATTCATATCATTTATGGTAAAATTTGGGCGATGGTTTACTGTTGCTTTACACCATTCAGGCGCCTCTCTGGACGCAGATGCTGAGATCGAGGAGGGATGCTGCAGCTTGTGCTTGGACTATCTTGGATTGGTGCTGGGGAGCTGTCTTGCTGTTTACTTTCAATATCTTTCAATGCACTTAGATTATGTTGAATTCTTGTTTTCTTTTGAGAGGCTTGGAATTTGGAATTCAATAAGTTTGAATTCGAGGCGTTGCTGGCAGCTCGCTCCAAGGCTGGGTCTCAATGGCTTGACAAAGCTGGTACAGTGATGCGCCTTGCAAGACAATCAGGATCCATTTACTGTCTTCATATGCTAATGCTAGGCCTCCCCGCAAAAGAGCAAACAGAGCACAGTGAGCAAAGAGGACAAAGTGCCGGAGGTGCAGGAGCAACTGGCACGACCCTACCGGTGCGAAGTGCCGAGGGGGAACTGTTGTGAAGCGTGCCCGAAACAAAATATGATAAGACTGGAGTCAGCAAAACCGTACACGATCTTACACGGATCATTTGTTTGTCCTCTAATCTTTGAACTTGCAAAGGATCCTGTGTCAAGAGATCGTTTGGTAGATACTTATCTTGAGATCTTCTTGAGTGCCTACAGCACTTCTTGGGAGGATAATGCGAGCTTTTGGCTGGGTGTGAGAGAAACACCATGCAGGCGGGCTGCTATCAGCAAGTGCAGAAAGTGAAGCAAGTGCAGCAAGTGCAATTCGTATGTCTTGGAATTTTGGGGACCATCAAACTCCGCATTTGGAGTGCCCATGTTTTTGAATTCATGAATGTTTTTGGGCGCAGCCAAGCCGCATCATCCTGTTTTCACACGACTGTCCCAGGCCTTCAAGCTGGCCCTGTCTTTCACTCAGTGTGGACTATGAGCCTTGGGAGGCTGCAAGCAGTGGAGATCATGAACATGAACTCTATCAGATGCTTGGCACAAAGTGGACTGCTCAGTGTCCAATATCTGCAGCCTGTTTTTTCTTGGACCCAACATTTCTGTTGATCCAGTGAATCCAGTGGTCAGTTTTGGCATAATTTCTGAAGGCGTAAGGATCTGTAAGGATGCCATTCTGCCACCGTCTTGGGATGCTGAACTTGGAACCTGCGTGACGTGCCGAAGAAAGTCGTGCCCAGGAGATACCTGCAGAGTGAACTGGCTGGAAACGAGGACCTGGGCGCCATTGTGTCATTGAAATTGTTTGAACACATTCCAACATATTCCAACACCTGCGAAAGTGAACAGTTTGCCAGCCGTGACTTGTGTGGAAGTTTGGGAGTCTTCTAGGATCTCAGCTCCTCTGGACCAATGCCGAAAGAGTTGGAAGCAGAGGCAATGCCAGGATTTCTGCACTTCACTTCAACATCTCTAACCAACTTATACCAACTTCTGGTTGGTCGTTTGGTGGTTTCATTCTTTCCTGATTTGGCGGATTGAGTCCGTTTGGCCTTTTGACTGAATGGGATAGGTCCGATAGGTCGCATATATGCTGATTGGATTTGATTGGGATCGGTGGAACACGGCGGAACCACGTATGTTTGATTGTGAGTTTGCAGGCTGCAAAGCTGCGAGAAGAAGCTGGGGATTCTCAACCCAGTGGCCATGAGGCTTCACCGAGAAGGGATTGACGTGGATCGAGATGATCTCAGAGTCAAGCTTGGATGGGGAATCATTGTGACTAGGAACCAATCCGTTGCACGTGAACTGAAACCATGTCTCTATATGTCTCTATTTTTCAGACCATTTCTTCAGTTCGAATCTTGCTAAGCTGCTATGCGCTTGTGCTTGGTTCACAAGGCAGGCTTTGGCGATGAGGCAGGATCCCCGCGGCATTGGCTGATGTTTGTGTCGCCTTTTTTGGTGCCATGTAGATGAAAAAACAGGATGAGGATGACGAAGATGCTGAAGAGGCCTGCAGAGATTTGAGATTTGATGGTTGCAGAGATTCCATGATTGTTTCTGTTGCATTACAGATGCCACATGCACAGTGAAAATATGTGGAAATGCTCAAACATCCAATCCCTGCACTCAGACCTAATTGTCTCTTAAATTCTCTTAATATGTTCCAATTCTTCTTGTGTTTGGGACCCCTTTTTGATTCACCTTTACGTTGGAGTCGTTTCGTCGAAAACGACATCTCAGAGGAATCATCAGATCGAGGCCATACGTGCAGGGGACAAGACGGCCAAGGTTGATTGGATGATGAGGCTGGTAGCCTCGTTCGACGCATTGCGATGAATGTACGGTCCCTTACTGTAGCTTCCTGCAATACCTGCAATAATTTTTTTACGAATTATGGATGATTTTCGCTAATATGCAGCATAAGCCGACAGAAGACCATATCAAACCATATCCTATCAATGCATTCTGAGCATGTCTGAGCTGTTTCGGCCCTGGGTGGCGGTTCTGTGTGGCCTTGTTGGGAACGCGATTCCTGAGGAAGAATGCTGCTTGCCTGCACCCATGGCAGATTTGCTGTGCTAACAGGGAACACCAGATTCCGTTTGATACAGGATACTGTACTAACAGTTGCCGAGATCATGGAATTACATGGAATTACTGTATTAGAAAATATGTACATATGCCAATCATATGCCAGTGTGCTTGTATCAAAGATAATCGAAGAATATCAAAGATCTACTATATGCGGGTTTGTCAATGGTACCCCCAATCAGTTTGGTGGTCTATCATTGTTTCGCCACCAAAGTCCCATGGTTGATCATCATTTCCCCATATTTCTCCCACTAAAACTGCCATCGATTCTGCTAGATCGGCCACTGCCTCGAGGTTTTCGTGCTGCCAGGCCTCGTCAAATGACACCAATGAGGACAGGCGAGGGAAACGACAAGAAAATACAGTGGAAATAACATATGAATCCATATGAAAGCAACGGGAATATTGAGTTTAACTCAGTTTAACCATGGTTAAGCACGAAAAGCAGAAGTAATTATAGCCAAGACTTAATTGGAATATCATGGGAAATGATGACATATTTGCCATCCAGTGAACCAAAATAGAAAGGCAAACCGACCATTTGTAGATATATGTAACTCATGTTCGAACGGGAAACAACCATTGTCTTCCATGGCTGTGTTAGTTTACTTGAGGGATCTTGAGGGTATCTGGAAACATCAGGAGACATGGGCTTCCAGGGTAGCAACACAATCGGGATGAACGTGGGAACCATCAGGGGATTATTCAAGATTCCAAATTCGACTATATAGTTGGATTAGTTGGACAGGGATAATTCAAGAATCCTTTAGAAGTCAAGTTTGCAGTCACGTTAAGACAGTTAAGGCTCTCCAGATTTGCGGTTCGCATTTTGGCAATGGCAAAAAAAATCGCCGAAAGGCCATGCTTTGGCCAAGTTCCTGACCCCTCTTTGGTAGCTGTGGCTGTGACATGAGTTTCTTTTGCAGACCCATACTGTAGTTGGCTGACTTTGCTCACTTGGTGGAGTCTGAAACATCCAAACGGATTACCCTCTGGTTATGTCAAAATAGCTATTGAAAATGGCCATAGAAATAGTGGATTTACCCATTGAAAATGGTGATTTTCAATAGCTATGTTAGTCATTACCAGAGGGTAAATTTATGAAGAGTCAACCCTCAATCGACATCACCCTTTTCAGGAGAGAGCTGGAGGTGGAGGTGCTAGCCCATCTGACATGGTGACTTCAGAGAAGCACACCTTGCCAATGGCAATCCCCACATCTGCGGTGGGTCCCTTCCGCAGCATCATGACCGGGCATGCTGACAATTTTGGATTTTGAATTACCATTTAGATATATTTGGTGGGAAGAAAACACGTGTGAGGGACTGGGAGGTATCGGCGACAATTGATCTTCGTTTTGACGCTCAGCAGGGCTTCTGATTCTTTACCAGACTTTCAATATTTTCAATGTGGTTCGAGAGGATCTAGATGCTTTGTAAAAGACTTGCTGCCGGCGCGCGCAGGGATACAAAATGATACAAGGCATGTGAGAATTGGATGGACTTGAGCTATTCAGACATACGCGGGGCAATTCGAGTGCTGATGTCATGTGCAAGACGTCAATTGATGGACTCTGAGGCTGGACGGACAACTTGATTTTGGCTACCGACAGCTACAAATACAGCTACCTGGCAGCGTGCACCGAGCTCCACTGATGTCTACATATCATAGAATTTAAATGAGTTTAAAGGATTTTAAAGGTTATTATAGAGCTTAAAACTTAGCACGGATAATTACTGGGGAAAAGCAGTGCTTTATGATGTTTGATTTTGGCACTGCAGAAGCCAAACGCAGGTTGAGAATAATATACGTGCACAAATACTGAAAAATCGCCAAGGCCACTGGAAGCAGTATCCTAAAGGAACTGAGTATGTCTCTTGGCAGAATCTCAACAAGCGGTACCTGCATGATAAATTCTTGCGTCTCACACTCGCTTTCTTTCCGCTTCAAGACTCCGATGATGATCCATTATGTTCGCAAAAATTGATTGTGTTCACGGAAAAGGAGACAGAATGGCAAGAATGTGAAGAGTACCTTGTGTTTGATTCCAGGTCTACAGCTATTTTGAGAGCCGTGGGTGCGACCGTGAAGGTTGGAACGAGGCGAAAGCAAAAACATGGGATTCCAAGACAATTTGTAGCTCATATTGAATCATAACAAATTATATGCCCATGTACATTGCCAAAGAGAAGTCTACAATAAACCACACTCAAGCATTTTGAAACACTCACACCCAGAGTCCTTCTGCAGGTGGTGTTCTTCGGCCTGCAATACTTCATCAAGCGGTATTTGATGGGCCAGGTACTCCCTATTGCGTTTTCTTACAAAGGCAAAAAGTTTGTTGCTATTGTGTTGCCGTATACCTGTGACGCAATTAGGTGAGACCTGCTTTTATTTCAGTGCCAAATTAGCTTGTTCGATCCAAGAATATGAGCATCCTGTCACTTTCACTGAGCACCTTGCACTGGTGCGCTGCCGAAACTGTGTAGGTCATCACTCGTGCCAAGATTGACGAAGCGCTAGAGCTTCTTGCCTGAAAGTGTCGCTATTTATCGCTCTTCACGCTGGTTGTTCAATTTTGTTCAGTACAGTACAGCTGTTGATGATGTTCAAGGTGAAAAACATTGAACAACTGTAGAAAACTCTACAACATTCATCACTGTTCGCATTTATTGATTCAGCGTTGCGAGTGGGTCGGATGGATTGTGATGGCCTCTCGTTCCAGGCTGTGCTCGGAGCACTTTCAAGGCTTGGGCAGCTTGCGTACAGCTTAATCAGTCATACAACAACTAGAATTTAGTGTGGCACTATAGTTTTTGAATGGTTTTGATTGTTTTTTGGTTGTTTTAATATGTTTTGATGTCTCTTAAATTCTCTTAATTAATATGTTTTCATTCGATTAAGTATCTCCCTTCTTGATCCTCTCTTTCTCTCTAAGATTCTATAGGTTTGACTACCCACCAGAAGCAAAAGGCGTACAAGAGGCATTTCTTTTGGCTAAGACTCGCCGCAGGTGATGGCCTTTTCTACAAGGAAGGCAACTTGGTTGCAACAATTAACAGCTGAACTCACACCCTTAGGTCAGGAATTGCACTCTTTGCATCTCTTGCTTTGATCCCAGAATGTCAAATATGTCAAACTGATGAATTCAAACTATGTTCATTGTTTTTGTACATGTCCAGTGCGATGCAAAAGACAAGCGTTGTAGATAGTTTAGTCAGTTTAGTCCAAGATTGCTGAAGGTTTCGAGTACATCTTGGAGAAGCACGGAGGCGACAAACACTCCCCAAGACTTGCAACTATCTACCCGCATAGACTAAGAATGATTACTCGGGGATCGAGGGAGGCGTTGTGGCTTCTGCCGAATCTCGGAGTTTTATGACATTGGTTAGACATTTCATGCCATATATCCCCATTAACTTTTACTTAATATAATTATATATATATATATGGACGGACATATATATATATGTATATATATATATATTATGGCCATCATGTGCCCAATGATATCCCCATGATACCTCCATGATTTCCCTACTGGCGTGGTTCCCTGCTTTGACAGGCAAGCTGCCAATTATCATCAAGGCTTTGCCTGAAGGTGGGACAGCCTGGCAGTGGATGCGGGTGCTACGAATTGAGTGAAGATATGATGTGATATCCAAGAGAGGCAGACATCACAAGGCACGGGAAAGATCAGGAAAGCTGGCACTTCACTGGCTTATCTCAAGCAAACTTTAGTTGCACTTGGAATTCCAGCTGCACTGACTTGAAACTGCCCCTAATCAGTTTGCAATTTAGTTATCTTTAAGTTTGGTTGATTGTAGGTGGTTCATGTTGATTCATGACTATTTCAACCTGAATCCTTCAAGTTATTGCAAGCCTGGGGCGGCCAGGCATGGTCGTGCCGACCAAGACTGCTCTGTTCACCATGGTGAACACAGACCCGAAATGTTTTTGGCTCACCAACTTTTTGGAGACACTTCTGGTTCAGGTGGACTTGGTCCGAACACAGGAACATCTGGGACTTGGGGCTGAATGATCATAAACTATCTCATGTCATTTGATGGAGTTTCTAGGAGTGGTGCAAACACCTCCGCTTGTTTTTGCTGGTGTTTCCTCCGCCGACGACTTTCAAAGTGTTTGCGAACCGATGCAGGTGTGGTACCCCATGACCGTTTGTACCAACAGCTGGTATCAGAAGAAGGCAATCCACAAGGCAGGACTGCGGCAGTGACAGCTTTGATGAGCTATGATGAGCTATTTAAGATTATTCAATGAATCATCTCCCCCGGAAATATACCATTCATAGAATATATATATATATATTATATACACACATATGAACAGTATATATATATATATATAAGTTATATAAGTTATATACATATCATCCCATGAAGTTCCCATTCTGATCCATGAGTCATATCTCCATAGATATCCCTGACAACTCAGGCCCTGGAAGAGACCGGCAACACCGAGTGGTCGATCCCTGGGGGAATCTCGGATGATCTTTCAACGGGAAAATCCCTGGGAAAATCAAAAGGCGGAAACCAATGGAAAACCATGGTTTTTACCATCAAATATGGTAAATATATGGTAAATATGGGGGGGTTCCGGTTAAAATGTTCCTTCCATTCCAACCAATCCAATCAATCTGGTTGTGGCCCAAGAAAAATGGATCTTTTCCTTGCAAGACATGACCAGTGAATCAATGCGCCCATTGGAGGTGTTTTTTTCTTTCCCAGAATGTTTTGATCCCGTCACTAGATGATCCACACCGCAAGGAAGTGTTTTCAAGCTCCACGACTTTGGTTTCCGCGGAGTATCCTCAGTGGAATCTGCTGCCATTGGAGGAGTACCTTGGTTTTTTCAAGGCGCAGATGTAGCAGTAGCACTGAGACGGCTTTGAATGGAATCCTGAAACAGGAGGTATGCAGTTGCAACAATGGAGATTGTTTGCAGTTCACAGTTCACTAACAAAAACATCCTAGAAGATTCAGGCATATTCAGACATTGTTTGCTTTTCACAGGCCGCATGCTTTCCATCGCGGCACTGAGGCAGCTCACTTGGTGAATTTTATGGGCACAGATACCGTTGCTGCACTGCTTTGCACGAAGAGGTACTACCATGCCAAGATGCTTTTCTGCAACACCTCCAACATGAAATCCAGTGGGGTCATGGGGCAGTATTATTCTTATTCCGCTTAGAAAGCTCTGAAAACCAGCCCAAGGGGGAAAACATTCTTGCTCGTCTCTGCGCTTGGAAATGCCCTTGTGTTCTACTGTGTTCTGCTGTGCCGGTGTTGGTGGTTCCGTTGATCCAGGAAGGCATGTGGCCACTCCATCCCTGCTTCTGAGCACTCTACCATTACTTCTTGGGGAGTTGATGGAGAGGTGCGATGGCTCGGAGGATCCACTACTGATACGATTCAGGTGGGTACCATTATATTGTACCATATTGTACCACAATCCCTTGAACCGTGCCCTGCCTGGGTAGTTGCAAACATAAGAAAACCGTTCATTTGCACAAACACAGTCATGGGTTTGTCATGAACTCAGTCGTATAAATCAAAGGCAAGACGTTGTAGACGTTGTAAAGCTGGAGAATCTATGGCAAGTGGTCCTTGAAGTGCAGCTAGCCAAGCCAGCTTGAAGGTCGATGCCATGAGGAACATGCTCACCTCTTACCCAACAGGGCTGGTGGCTTGCGTAGCTGAGCTGAAGAGAGCAGAAGCTGACTGAAACTGATTTTGATATCCATGAAACTGCCATTTTAATATATGAATATCCCCATCTGGTGGTGCAGATTTTTTTCCTGGGAGTCCACTACCAAAATTAATAATTTTGAAATCACCGTTCGAACCAGGGAAAAAAATGGTTCAACATATTTCAAAATTATTTTCCTTTGGTGTACAAATGCCCCTCAACAGGAAAATCATGTTCATGGGGGGTGAGTTTACTAGAACATATATGTACGTCAAACCCCAGGGAAAAAATGACCCATGATTGTTTGAGGGGGTATGGTTCTTTAAATGACTTTCAAAGGTTGGGATTTAAATCTTTGGAACTGGTGCTATAATGATTATGATATAATGCATGTATTTGCCAGAGGGGGTGGCAATTTTGAATTGTTCTGGTCACCCAAAAAATAACAGTTATCCGGGGTGCACCAGATGGGGATTATTAATAGGGAACATATGGGAAAATGATAAAACATACCATGGGATTTTGGGGTATTCCATTTTCTGATTTTGGCAATTTCGATTCATTTCGTTTGGTTGAAAGGTCAGTGACTCCTTCGACGTGTTCAAGGCATGCAAGGACGGCTATGAATCTCCAAGTGATATCATCCTCGCATGTCAAGAGATCCTTGGTGCCACCCTTCATCTAATGTTGGCAGGACTACTGGGGAGACAAGTTGAAGGACCTAATCAAAGGTTCGTGACTCAGAGACTCCAGGTCCGATGACACAACCAATGGCAGCTGTCACGGCTACAGCGTTTAAGTTCAAGATTTCAAGCTACTGAGGATCCCTTCAATGGATACAGGATGTTCAACTGGGACATGTTACCCCACGGGCTCTATCCCCACATCCCTTTGTCCAGAGTCCCGAGGTCGTATCTCTGGTGACAGCTTTGGGCGCCTGGTGGTGCGCCCTGACAGCGGAGATCCAGCAGAAACCTGCAAGGCCTGCGGAGATCCAAATGGCAATAAGGCAATAACGATGTAGGGTCGAGACACTCAGATAGTTTCGAGTAAATCACCATCATGAATAGATCAGAATAGTAGGGAAACACTTTTTTTGGTTGACAACCTAGCTGATACTGTGATACTACTTTGTATCACTTCTTATACACGCTTGCAAGGTTTGTTTGAAACATGGGTCTTGGAGTCTTGGATGGCCAGCCCCAAATCCAGTGATGCAGCCTACATTGATGAGTGAGACTCAGACATTCAAAGGCAGCTGCCTGCGCATTCGAAGCTGACCTTTTTCCCACTCAAAGCTGAACCAACTTCAGGAAATCCTCAAGATCTTGTCCCGGGCTTGGATGAGAGAGGGCGTGCCGTTCTGTTTTTGTGCAGAGTAGTACAACAGAAATGTACATATATATATATATATATTCTATCATATCGATTTATTGATTTGTATTCCAATGACCATAATTTAATTCAGCAAGGTGAAACAAAAGCTTGCTGCGCTGTCGCAAGGTGCACTCAGTTCAAGGAGGATGCACCTTGCCAGCAGCCAGTCATTTTGCCATGATCCATCAAGCCAGCCAGCCATGAAATAGGAGGAGGGCATTACTATTCCATATATATATATATTCCATCAAAAATTCAATCGAAAAGGATGACTGCATCCAATCGATGTAAGAACTCACTCTCCTTGTAACATCTTTTAAAGACCTTCATTTGGCCATGGGTCAAAACCGCGGTACCTGGTTTACCCCAACAGAGCTGGTAAACGGATGTGTATCCCAGCAACATATGGTAATTCATGGGGTTGTGATCCACCCCCCGTGAAATTCCTTTGACTTTGAGTGAAGTGTGGAGGTCATCACCACCTCCACTGGGCACAAGCTTTTGCCTCCCTACATCCGAGTCATTCAGGGAGATGGTCTTTGGCTCAGATTGCCTCAGCGTGGCCATGCTGATCCCTGCCCGAAATATAGCAGCGAGTAGAGCTGGACGGCAGCGTAACACCTAGGATGATGTGTGCTGGGCATTTTTGGAAAGCCGGCCACACAAAAAGAATCACAGAACCCCCCCAAAAAAAACAAAATACTTGTTCGGATTCATGACGATATTCTTCACGAATTCTCAAAGACTCACGAATCAAGCACTCATACCAAGCTAAGCAGGCGCAAATTGACCTTCCTTCGACTTGGAGGTTTTTCCGTTTAAGGTTTGCTTGTAAACAAGTAGAAGCAAACCTGTTGGGTGGACAACATGAATACACACAGATATACACAGATTATTCTAGGCACCACACATGGACAAGCCGCGTGCACGTCATTGGTAGCCTGAGGTGTGGACTATGAATCTGTGCCAAAGATCCTGACTTGGGCTTAGTTGTCCTTTCAACAAACCACCGCTCAAACACTGTGAAGTAGATAGGATGCAGGATGCCCGAAACATTCCAAAACATGTTCTGTACTTTGAGGAAGTCGCTGAAGAGCGCTGGCTTTGTTGCTCTGAATGCAGACAGAGTTTTTTTTTCTATCCATCTTACAACGTGCTGCGAGTTTGTTCTGGAGAAGTACGGATTCAATATGATTCAATCTAATTATGAGAAGTACGTTTGTTTCTCTTCTGCGTAAAGGAATGCCCAATCTACGCACTTCTGATGATTGAGGACTGTCAAGAGAACCCATCGCAGAACAGAAGTCAGAGTCGGTCCAAAGGGGTGTCCATTGATCAGTTTATGATCATATTACATCATATGTATTATCATCATTTTGTGTAAGGGCTATGCATGCAATCTCGTAGCATATTACTGACTGCCTTACTATTATCATAGATTTATGTAGTATATACTAATATACATTAGCTATTAGCTAATTATTGTATTGCAGCCATGAAAGTTGGACATTTCACCGTTTCACCTGAGCAGATTTTGCAGCATCCCAGCAGAGGCTGCTGACAACATGGTCTTCGGCAGTGGTGGCGCTTTGCTTCAGAAGCTGAACCGTGACACTTTCAAATGCTGCTGGGCTCAGATTGCCTGTGTTTTCTTGGTCACGCCAACGAGATATGAAGACCACCAATATGGGTATTTCATGGTATTTCATAGTAGTACTAAACTTGGTAAAGTAAGAATGAAACTATGAAACATTATGAAACCATCATGAAAACCATTCAATGAACCATCCACTTTGGGAGGTTGGTGATTTGACATATTTAGATCATCCCATATCATCCCCTGGCTGATTGTGGCCATCTCTGAGTTCAGGCGCATTCAAGTGCTCAGAGATTACTGTCAGCGGCACGGCCAAGGAGGTCTTCAAGGCGAGGGATCGTTGGATGAAACATCTTCTGAAAGGCTTGAAAATGAGTTGAGAGATGTTGAGGGTGGAGTAAATTGGACATAAATTGGACATCATTTGACTACGTTCTCACCTTGAGTAACTTGAGTTGATCTTTCGGGCCGTCAATGATCGTTTGCAATCTACAAAAAAATCATCCAAGAATCAACACAATCAACACTGGCTGTTTTCAGGGGTCAGATCTGCATTCAGGACCCAATCACTGACAAGGGCAAGGCCTCCAAGAAGGGACGACTGACGGTTCAGATGCTTATTTGCACTTTCTTGTCTTCCAAAGTTGTTTGGGAAATGACACAAATGGATGGAAGTAGGTCACTCAGAGTCAGATTTCTAGAGTTCCGTTTGCCTCGTTGATTGTATTGACAACTGCAAGCCAGCTAAGGTCATCTGAGACTGTATCATCTAAGACTTCTAAGATCATCTAATGTCATCCAATGGTCCAACTTCCCACAGGTTTCATTTGCAGTTGATCTCTGAATGACATCTCTAAGGAAGGCATCCGAGACCACTGGCTTCTCCGATGCGGACAAGTACAAGCCGCGTAACTGGGCGTTGAGGGGACGTCGTCTCCACGAAAAAAGGCACCATTCCTCACCAGTTCCATCCTCCTGCATGATTGCAGAGTGAGGAGGCCTTTTTCCGCTTCCCAGTCATCCAGTCTGGGTATCATGCAACTTACTGGTAAAGGCGGTATAGAACTATAAAAAATATTTTTAAAAATCTATCTATCTATATATATAATATATCTCACATTCTGTAACTAGCATTTTTCATCATTTTTCATGTTCCCACGGTCTTTCCATGTTTTTTCATGTGGTTTTTCCATCTCCATGAGCTGCAGAGTCATATCAGGTCAGGGCGACAAGGGCGTAGCTGGTGGTACCGGCTTCCTTCACTACAGTGCAGATGGCAAGCTTGTTTGGGCACCCGGACCTACCGCAACGCAGATATTGAGGAGATTAGCTATTGGGGATGTTAATATATGTTAATAATTGTGAATATATGTTAATGTATGTTAAGATGATGTTCATAGATGTTCATAATAGACCATAATAGACACTATTGGATCCATTTATACTGGGGATATCAATCGACTGACCCAACAAACATTGCCAATGATATTGAATGAATGACTAATCGAACAAATTGCGAATGCCGGTTTATTTATGGAGTAATAGTTATGGAACAATTATACTAAACCATCGACGATCAGCTGTCCTGGTAGATTCTTGTAGATTGTGTAGAATGTTTGTAGATGCCTGTGGAGGTTTCGCGTTTTCAACCCATCAGACACATTGCCCAGGTCACGGTGGCGAGCAACAAGGGCAATCCCGCGAAGGATTTGTTGGTGGAGGCAGGTTTTTCTCCAATCTCCATGGAAACAACAGCAACAAACATAGGCAATGAATGGCAATGATAAAAAATCTGTGAGAGTTGACATCAGTTGACATACCTTGCGAGTTAGGACAGAGGAGTCGTTGCAAGTTGAAAGTCAAGACTTGCTGGCGAGCTGCAATGCGCTACAGCATCAACTACCCTTTGGTAATTCGACATAGCTGTTAAACATGGCAATTTATAGTTTATTTACATGATTCAGCACGGTGACTTTACCGTAAATATGTTAGTTTACCAAAGGTAGGCAATGAAAAGGTTATCACTCCAGTAAGCCTTCCTCGATGTCTTCTTTATCCCTCTAAAAATAGGGTCCCTTAAATCCACGGGTTCATCATCTTTTCCTCCAATCAAAATTGCCACAAATTGGGGATATGCCGTACATACACCCCATGTTCAGACACACCCATATTGCCCATATGTGTATACATATAGAATTATATACACGTATATTGTTATAATATAGAAATATATTATAGCACAGTGACATATCCTCATTATCCCCATTACATTCCAATTATATATATATATATATATCCAATCAAGTGATATCAAGTGTCTATACTTCGATACATCAGGCCACCCTTAGCATCCACCAGGGACCATGTCACGGTCGTCAGGTCTTCAGAGATGGAGAGCTCACGAAGGCTTGCCGCTTCGTTTTAGAGGTAAACGAGTGAACGGAGGCAAGATTCCTTCCTCATTAAAAGTATATATGTCAATCAATATATACATATATATATATAATATATTGTATGTATTGACTATCCTCATAATGTATGTATATATATATTATATATGTGGTTGTATCGAAAGATGGATAAACTAGCGCCGCCAATGCCGATCTGCGCTCCACTTGTCTCAGAGGATGACTCGCTGCTCTCAGGACTACACGCTGGATGAGATCCGAAAGCGTCTGCCGATTGCAAATGGTTGAGTCTGAAAATGGAGGATTTAATCTTCCACAACAGGATTAAAAGGAGATTTACAAGGGATCTTATATAACTAACCAACCGTAACTATGTGGGTGTGTTGAAAAATGGGAATTGAACCCCCAACACACAATTGGGAATAATCATGATGAACCAGTGGATTTAGGAATACCACATTTGAAGGACAAAGCCAATTGTTGCCAGAACTTCATGATGAGACCAATTAATTATTTGTTTATGGTAAAAAACATGGTTTCCAGTGAAGATTTTCCCAACAAAAACCAATTCATTGGTGTCAAGATCCTCAAGTGGTGGCCTGAGGTGCTGACATTCCAAATGGACCTTTTGCACCCCCTCCTGAGCAGGCTTGACATGGCCGGACCACCCGGTCATGGTGTAATGAGCTGGCACAACCTCAGCTAAGTAGAAAGTCGTCAAATGAAACTTATGTCTGTATATAATTATATATAATTGAGTAGTAGCACATGACTTCTACTAAGTCAACCCCAAGCTCTGCTAGTCTCTTCATATCTCTGGCCCAGTGGACGATTTCTGTCGCAAAGAATGGCAAGAAATTGGGACTTACGCTCGTGCATGAGGGCAAGGACAGCATGGGCCCACAGTTTGCAGAGGTCCACGTTGGGTAAACGTTCTTTTAGTCATTTTGGCCGGAAAAGACACATTTGGAAATCATTTGGTACACTTAGCTGGCATGTTGTGCAAATTCTTTCGCTTTGGAACGGATATGACTGGATATGACAATGGTTTAGCGGCAGTATGTGGCAGGGAGGATGTTGTTGAACCGTGTAGTGTCTCTGAATGTCTTCAAGCAGGCAGAAGGGGTCTGTATCTGTGCAAAATCACACTGGGCATGAATCCATTGTGAACAACACCGCTGCTGCTTGCTCCGTTCAACCAGAGTGAATACATGTGTAATGATCAGATGCTCAAGATATGCTAACCATCCAGCTACATTGGACATCCCCAACCTGGAATCGTTCCGCAACATGACTGCACTACAGGACGCGTTGAAGGTGACTGCCATTTTGCCTGGTGCAGTCACGGACTTCAACACCGCCAATCCAGACCAGGACCGGAAGAGAAGACCAGGTTGCTTATTTTTTTGCTTCCATGATATGTTCATGATAGTTCTCTACTGTATGGCATTATCCCTCTGTGCCCCAAGATGTCTTTTTGCATACTCGTGTGCTGAAAAGCGCCTAGAGGGGGCAGGGTCGTCTTCTAACTGCCCACAAGACAACTCTTCATGGTTGCATCATGAATGCTGTTTACCTCACGTACAAGACATCCTTGGTGGAAGGCTGTCAAACTCGGTGACCTCGTTCAGAAGGTCAACGAACAAACAGGCGAGGTTGGGGCATGAGGAATGTACCTAGCTGAGCTCACAAGTTGGAGTTGGACATTTATAGATTTTACATGATTTTACAGGCTTGAAGATTAATCACAGTTTCTTTGATGGGATTCCATTTTTCTCCTAAATTTTGATGCACCCTGCCACTCTGCCATTTGTTCACTGGAGGACTGTCATATTATGACAAGACGTGACAAGACACTGCAGAGAGGTCACATATTATGATCTAACGGCCTGGCCACGGCCAGTGAGACCATGACAACATAAGACACTGGTTGAGCCTTTTGGAAATTAGTACCATTGTACCATGAAGAAAACAATAGTGCTTTGATGAACACCCACAAAACAATGAATTCAATGGATCTTGGAAGATTTGGAAGCGGTCTCAGGGTCTCGAAAAAGAATGTGCCTGGCACTTTCTGGCACCCTCCCTCTCCCTGACCACGTGTCGGCAGGTTCATCTGAGAAGATGATGAAAGTCCAGACCTCAGATGCAACGATGCTGTCCAATGGCCTATGAACAGAGATGCTGGATGAAAGATGATGAAAGTTACCATTTTGCAAGAAGTTTCGATGGATTGGCTGGAAAATCTACAGCAAACAATGAATTTTATTACCGCCAATTATAGAGGTTTCCTGTAGATTTTCCATGATTTTCCGGTAAATCAATCCGATGAAAGTTGTTACATGTTGCTACTGTTTGGCAGTTCCCGAGACTGAAAGAGTCCGTCACCTCATGACAAAATCCTGGCACCACATGGCACCACTGTCATAGCTACATCCCGCCAACTTCATCCATTGATCCATTGCATCATTACCTCTGACTCTGGCCGGCATTTCTCCTGTCTTTTCCACTGCACATCCTTCGAAACAGACTGTTTTAGTCTGTTTTATGTGGACACATGATGCTTTAGCAGACTGTATTGGACTGGTACTTCTATTCTCTTTGTGCTTGCACTGCGAAACTAGCAGAATGTTTTTTTTTCAACTTTTGGGAAGTTTCTGACAACCTGAGGAGTTGGGAAAGGCAGAGAAGTGCGAAATAAAAATGCTGAGAAAAGCATCCTAGGTCCGCTGAGTCTAGTCTTGCAGCTGGCTTTCGTTGATTGTTCTGGCGAGTGCCCCTGATCGTGTTGCAGTTGTGACATCCTGACCACAGCAAAATCAAATTGAGTGGATGTGTGTTGATGTTCAAACGGTTCAAACGGTTCAAACCACTCCTTGGCATCCTTGGCGCACTTTCCGTCTAGGCGTCTAGGCCTGAAAGGGCATTTGCCGAGTTTTGCTGTGACTTGACCTTCAAATGCAACTCTGGTCTGAGGGAAAGGACTGCCACAAAATGGTGCAGTTACTAGTGCCGATCCAGACAATACTCGCCGTATCTAGCCGTATTAGCCTTTTGTTGACCGTCAAGTTATCAATTGAATCCAAGGAACTGTTCGTTGTTGTGGAGCATCGACTTTACTCAACTTTACTCTTGGTGACTCGGCTGAATTTCATGCACCTCAGCAATTTTATTTGCTTTTTTCCAGAAATGCAAAATTTATTGGATTTGTCCCCAATGTGCAGCGATTGGGGAACCCCAATTTTTTTGGACAACACCAATCTATACCAATCTTATAATATATATATAGTTATATAAATGTTGTTATATATATACGTATATATATATATTTGGTTTAAATTCACCTGAGGCTTTCTCAAAGACAAAGATCTTAGAGGAGGCATCAAAGTCGAGCTCGCATTGAGCCTCAATTTTTCGCTGGAGGACTGAACACCAGCTGCCATCAGAAAGCAACTAAAAAAAACGCCGCCCTTTTTGCACACTCATTGGGAAAATAAGTTGGGTTTGTTCTAGTACCATGAGTGATGATGTCTATACAAAGGATCAGATGGGTGATACCTGCCACGCCAAATGGCAGGACAGCAAACTCTGAAAGACGCTCGAAGTAGTGAACACTTTAGGTTTGCTCGCCTGAAGTACTAGAGATGGACTACAGACATGATCTCATGCTGAAGCTGTGTATCCATGGAGTTCTTGCCTGAAAGAAAGGCTCTTCCTGCCAGCCCGTTTTTTGAATCAGCTACAGCATGCACACGTCTTCTAATAGCTGCCATGTCCACAGCTGCGCCGCAACTGGAATATCATTACTAGTGTTACTGTGCTTTTACAATCTTCAACATCTTCAACCTTCATCCAGTTGGTCATAGCAGATCGAAGTCCAGCGCAGCTGGGACTGGCTCCTTCTCGTACCGCACGTGCAGCTTCTGAGACCTCACTGGCTGCAGAGATTGTCTCCTCAGCCTGTGAATCCTGGCAGGCGAAGAGAAGTGAAATGAGTCGGCAACAGAACCATGGCAATTGAAAATCCCCCATTTATAGAAATCTGTGGATGATTTTCCCAGATTTTCCAATTGAAGCCTCATGCGATTTCTCATTGCCCACATGTTCTTTCGCTTTTCCAGATTTTCGCTGAGCTTGCCGTTGGATGCCGTTGGTCTTGGAAGAGCTTGACGGGTCTGCTGCAACGCGAAACATGGCTGACTGCTTGCTGCTCATGTGATTCTGAGGGCTTGTCGCAGTGGCATAGCATGTTCCCACGACAGGTTGAGGTACTCGTATGTTGAGGTTTATGGTCCAGAGAATGCCAGAGAAACATTTCACTCGTCATTTCACTGCATTGGGTTTTCGGTCTGTTCTGGTGGATTCGAAATGTTAGTCACAGGTTTCATCGACGCATCTCTAGAAGTCCTCAGCAGGCCCGCACAGGGAGCCTCAAGCAGCTTCCCTCGCTCCTGAAGAGTGGAACTGGTGGAAGCATGAAACAAATGCCCGGTCATGGAGGGAATATCAAGTGGCAGATGCAATGTCATAGCAAGACTTTTTATGACTATTGTTCATACATGCAGGTTTTAGATGGGGTTTTATCAAGTTGAAGCAACTCAGGATTCGTATCTCTCATAATTCTGATGCCCCAGCTCTGGGGAAGCCATTTCAGGTTCTTCGCTATTGCTGGGGTGGAGAGCCACTCTGGCTTCAGGAGCGCTGCAAGATGCTGCAAACTGGCAGAATATCGCACCATAGGGCCTCCCGAAATCCACTGCTTGATCATCATGTTCCAATATTTTACTGTATCATATTTTGTCATATTTTTATATTGTTTTATATTTTTGACTATTAAATGATTTCAAAAAACATGTTCAAACATGTTTCAAATGATTATTGAATGATAGGAAGTGGCACCAAGCTGCTTTTTTTGTGACAGGCACCTCCTGGCGCGCCGCCTGGATGTTGCTGTGGTGCCTTGGGCATTGGGCCAGAAATGTCATGGACACATGGGTATGGATCAATACCAATGAAAATACCATTTTTAGAGGGATGAACATCCATAAATCCCAGCTATTTTGATGTGAACTACAGGGGTACAAGGTTTTGACACACTGCCATATGTGACATGTCATGATTGCCATGCGGAACCTAGTTTGGAGACAAAGAAACAGGATGAAACAGGTTCCCCCGAAGTCCAAAAGTAACCCCAAGGGCGCCACCAAAGTGGCCTCAACCAACCCCTCTAATGACTCTAATGCCTCTTTGTTCTGGTGTTTCGACTTTCTAGGCCACGTATGTTGCCAGCGTAAAGGCACAAACTAGCGAGCATTTTCAGACACATGCAGTTTTCTAAACTCTGAAAGTCCTGTAGGCTGCCAACCTACAGCCCTATTTGGCGCTAGCTGCACCCTGAATTGCCACCATATTCAAATATCCTCAAAGTAGCCCAGCATAGCCACAGATGAATTATCCCATGCCAGCATTTTCTGACATATGCACTTTTTAAGCTCTGTAGGTTGCTAAACTACAGCCGTATATGGCACCAGCCGCACCATGAATTGCCAGCGTATTCAAACAGGTTCAGTTTCCAAGCGCTGTATGTTGCCAGCCTACAGCCTCAAGCTATGCCTGCGTAGCCACAGCTGAACCCTCCAATAATCTCCAATACTAGCATTTTCAGACACATGCAGTTTCTAATATTGTAGTTGCCAACCCACAGCCCTATTTGGCGCCAGCCGCACCTTGAATTGCCACCATATTCAAATATGTTTAGTTTCCAAGCCCTGTATGTTGCCAGCCTACAGCCTCAAACTTTAATATTTAGCTGCAGCTGCACCCTCCAATGCAGGATGCTACGCTATAGTCCCATACAAGTATTTGAATATGGTGGAAATTCATGGTGCGGCTGGTGCCAAATGATGGCTGTAGGTTGGCACCCTGCACAAAGTGCATGCTGGTATTGGAGGGTTCAGCTGTGGCTACGCAGGCATAGCTTGAGGCTGTAGGCTGGCGGCATACAGGGCTTGGAAACTGAGCATAGCCCCACCAAACTGCAGTGCCACAGTGCCTTCCTTTGACCCTAGTTCGGATACGTTTTGCTGTCACTCACACTCATGGAAGTCCAGTAGAAAACGGATTCAGATCAAATTCATTTTTTCATTGAACATGGATTTATACATGTCGCATTCTATCAACATGATATCATGTGTTTATCAGGAAATAGATGACTTATCGCAATCAATGCTCAATGATTACTGCACATGTCGAGACATGCAGGTGCTGCGCGATGCTTCGAAATGCAGCTGCTGCCAGGTCCCAAACAGATGGTGAGCATCACTGGCAGAAGATGCTTTATGTTCAAATATGTTCAACAAGCATCAGCACGTGTCAATTTCAGTGCAGTTCAAACATGTTCAAACCACTCATTGTTCATCCCCATTCCGATCATTCCGAGGCCAACCTTGCCTTCGCGTTTGGCGCATACGGTGCCTTCGGAGAAGGCTTCGGCCTTGACCATGGAGTGGGGTACTTTGGTTGTCTTCACGTGCTCCAAGGACCTTGAACAGTGTAGAATGTGTAGATGGTGCATCTGACGGCAAGAACTATGAGCTTTATGAACAGGTGATGTTTGGTGTCTAATTGTCTAATATTGACTTATATTTGCCCAAATTTGGTCGAACCCGGTTGCATAGTGGCTCTGTGGAATTTTCGTTTCAGATGGTCCCGCCATTTTCTGTTCCACACACGCCTTGCTTTGTGTGCGTTGGGTCGGAACAAAAATAAAGATGCTTAATTGAGCTTAACTGTCTTCAATGCATGCAATGAGTAGTAGCAAGTCAAGGGAAGTGGTTTCAACATGTTTCAACAATCCCAAGAAATCAAAAGAATCCTCCAGGACTGTCCATGCGAAGACCCGCGGGAAGAGTTCTTGGTGATTCAGCCAGCTGAGTAGTGGCAAAACAGAAGCAACGAGCGCCTCAAAATTTGATATGGCAAGTAGATGCAAGTAGTAATGATAGTAATATCAAAGCAACTGAGCTTCTATCACTCAAGTTTTGACATGTCTGATTTGTTGTGACAACTGCCACTGGCACAGTGAGACATACTGGTCCCCTATTAATTGGTGGATGCTTTCGGAGAAACGAGCAAGCGGGCAGTACAATTTTGCTGGTCGATGCAAGTAAATCCAGCAAAAAGACCAACAAGAGAGGTCAAGGCTCTTTGACAAAAAAACAAAGTTTGTTTGTTTTTTTTCCAGGTAATTATATAATATTATATATATAATTATATATATATATATATATTTATTACATGTTATTATATATGTAAGATAATATAGCTATATGATATATATATAATTTTATGTATATGTATATATATATATTATAAATATACACGTATATGTACGACATTGACGTTTGTGAACCATGCCTCCTGCGAACCCCATAGCTATGTGCTGATGGAGCTTCTGGTGGCCCTGAAGAGTGGATTTCCACACCAAGTCCACGGAACACATGAAGCTGTAAGACGTTGGCGTTGCATGTCACATCATGTCACCATGTAACTTGGCAGACAACTCATAGCGGCTTAGCGTTTGGAAACAGATGAGTATCCACACCAGATGATGGCCCCAGAAAATGATAGGGAAACTCCAGTGGAACTACGGTAGTTCACGCATTATTCAGCGCCCATGTCGGAGAAAGAGCGAAAACCCGGACTCTTGGACAGTGACAAGGACAGAGAAAGGTCCTGAACATGGCATCAGCACGCGTCCATTGCACTTGTTGGATTTTGGTGGTATTTCCACTTGCTTCAAATCCTACTCGTATTTTTTTTTGCACATTTTGCTTGGCAATCCCATCCCCCTAAATATTAAACACCCCCATTTTATGGCTTCAAATCAATGAACATCCCCTAGCAAACCATGGTTTCTGGGTTAACGTTTCCGCGGTTCCGCAGGACTTCCCCAACTTCGTGGGCCGCATGATTCATGGTGCCATGCTGAGGGACTACTCTGAGGAGCAGCTGTGGCAGGTCTCTTGTGGGCTGGGGAGTAGCCCAGAATCTACCACAAATATCCAAACATGCTGGAGTTTTTGATGGTTTATGGGATATATATATATATATATTATATATATACATGATTATGTATGGATGTATGAGGATTTATGGGGAGGTACAATACAAAAAACATGGGGCCTGGGGCTTAACAGGTTTCAGCGTTTGGATAATTCGCAGCTGAATCAGTGACAGATTTCAGCTGGCAGGTCCTTGGGAAACCTTCTTCACGGAGGCGTTTGGCAATCCTCCAACAATGCCGTGGCAAACAAGGTCAAATACTTAGACGAAATGATTCGACTGTAGACTGTAGACAGTTTTGGCTCAGGACCAAAACACAGATTTTTCTTCACCTTACAAGTAAACTTTGGGTCCTTCACCTTGTTCTTGAAGCACTATGCAAAGAGCACGTGATCGGATGTGAAGCTGGATGCAAGATGTGTAACATGTAACCATGTTTGCCGTCCTAGGCCGGCTTGACGCAACTTGCTTTTGCAAGGAAGCTTGTGGCGATGAATACGTTGCCCTGGCAAACTGCGTCCGTAACGGCAACTTGTTTTCATTTATTAAAACATATTCAAAACGCATTCTTCAGGTGTGTATTGCCAACACCCCGGTGCAATCAGATGGGTATCTTATGTTGAGCGGTTCCGTGTGGTAGCCAACGATAGCCCATCATAGCCGCCATAGCCGAGTCGTACGACTTGAGGCAGTGCTGAAAGTTGCCAAGACTATGTTTCTTCCTTGACTGGCTGTGTGCGAGATGAATGGAAGGCGCGGGGTCATATTCAGCGTTCAGTGCATAAACCAGTGGTCCTGTGTGAGTCTCTACCGTACTAGTTGGATCTAGTTGGTGGTTTCAAAGATCCCAGGTGTTGTTTCCTCCCAGGATGATACTCCCGAATCAATGAAGAGGGTTTGAGCCCACCAAGTAGATCGGTTTATCTGAAAATATGATACCGCCCAATTTAATGGTTTACCATCTAGCAGTACAATGGCATGGGATACCCCCCCATTTTCAGACAAACCCAGGTCAAGTATAGCATTGAGCAATGTTCAACCCCCCTGTTGATTATTTGATTGATGATTTGAGGGGATTATACTACCCAATGTATTGCGGATTATGATAATCTATTGATTATCATAGTCTGATGATTATCACAGTCTAGAGTCTAGTGATTATCATAATATACATGATCTAATGATACCCGCAAAAGATTCCTCTCCATTATCAGGACCCCTAGGGGTCCGCCAAAACCATTTTCTTGGACAGCCTATGTGCCTGCAAGGATATGCAATTACGGGTTCCTGATTTCGGAGAGGGAACATTTTGTAGATGGCTGAGACTGTAGGTTCCTCATTCTGTAGAGGTGTTGGGGTTTGCGAACATTCAAATATGCAAATTATATTGATTTTACAGGTTCTCATTTTGTAGAGAAAAATGGTGGAACACTTGTTTCCGACTTGCTTGCTCAACGCCCGCTCCTGCCGGAAATGTGGAACAGGAGTTTCCCTCTACAAAATGGATTTTGTACATTTCAGGCTTTTCAGGGGAGACCAAGGTTCTTTCACATCACCCCTCTGCAAAATGGACCTTTGTATTTTTGAGGGCTTGCTTTCTTCCAGGTAGCCATTCTGCTTATATGTGCTCATGCCAGGTTCCCCACTTTGTAGAGGCCAGTGGTTATTATAATCCTAAAAGTGCACCAAAAAAAGCGGGTTGGGTGCTCTGATTTTGTAGAGGAAACATCTCGCTACATTTTTGGCAGGTTCCTCATTCTGTAAGGGCCTGGGGCCCCAAAAACCAGATTTGGCTCTACAGAATGGGAACACCCAACCCCCCCCAGTGCAATATTTGGGGGTATATCTAATGATTGTATATGATCATCATAATCATCATAATCAAATGATGATCATCATTCAATGATGATCATCATCTAGTGTATCAACTTGTATCCACTTAGCCAACGCCGAAGGCGTTTCTGATGTCATCCTCGCCGAGCCTTCAGAACGATGCGCTCGAACGCCTTGAGAAATTCGTGGAGCCTCCGAGCCCTGAAAAATGGCTGCAGCCATGCTGAGCACCAACCGTCAGATGTTTGGTGGCTTCATTTTTTTGGGATATATACAATGATATTATACTATATATATATGCAATGATATCGGGATAATGATAGGGATTGGGTTTCAATTTGTAAGTTTATTATTTTGGGGAATAATGGATGATGATGGATGATAACGGATGATGTTGGTATGTTGGGAGAATGATAGGAATATGAATGAATATGATATAATATATGATATGATGATATACCAAAATATACAGTAGCAGATGATATAATATTTTGGGCATTTGGGTGTGGTTGTTTTTCACTACTAAAAATGGCATGCTGAGATGATGAGACCCATTGGCTACAATTTTGCAGGTTGAAATGAATCACCAAACAGCCAGTGCAGGATGGAAAACCTTGGCCTAAAGACCGCTGGCTGGCATTTTTTTGGCTTAGACCATTACTGCGTATCGGCTGGTGCATTTCGCCACGTCAAATGTGAGTAGATCGGCAACTATCCTCATGTCCCTCACATTTTCAGCTTGTGTTTCTTGCTTCGACAGTATAGCAGCAGGTTAGTATGAAGAGTTTTATTCAAGTGTTAAAAATGCAATTCAAATCGGCGCCAGTCATTGGAACATGTTTGTTTGTAAACCTTTGCTCATTGCATAGCATTGCATAGCAATGGCCCCTGTGGAGGCGGGGAACTGTCAGGCTGAACTCAGTTGATTTCTTGTGGAGAACTCATCTAAGGTCAGGGCACTCCATAGGACATTTCTGGTTTTGTGCTCAGATGGTCCAGATATCTCCAGATGGCATTTTGCCCACAACTTAAGCGCAAAGACGCAAAGAGTGTCAGTACAAGGTGGTACTGGTTGGTGTCAGTGGCCATTGGAAACCTCTTCACTGCTGTTCGCGGCGGACGTCGTTGAGTCAGGTACCATTTGCTGCGGTTCCTTGCTGGCCGCAGGCAGCAGTCTGATCGGGGATGGAAGGCCATCTAAATCGCCGTAGATCAAGATCCAGTGCTCGGGTGAACTTCAAGTATACCATATAAAGCAGATTCCGAGTTCTTATCTAACCTAGGGTGAGGTACTCGAACAGTATTTCTCTCGAGGCTACCAGTTCAGCCTTGTGAACTTGAACTTGTCCGTTTGGTAGACGTTTAGCCATGGATCAGGTGGACCCTGATCGGTTGGCAGGCAGCAACAGTCTAGCTCCCAGTCGAGCTGCGCTGCCTTTCACGTACTCTCTTTCATGGCATGCCCAGCACAGCAACCTTTCTGCGATTGAAATGTAGGTGAGTGAGGAAGCATTGCCAAATAAGAGCCGATATGTTCAATCCATCTCAACTTCTTCTCCAAATCATCCACATTTTTTCAATTGCAAACCTGATGTTGGAAAATTGGTCAGGACTTGACGTCTTTTGCCGCTCATTGGCGTCTGCCTTGGGAACGAGGCGAGGTAGACTCAGTACCTTGAGACGCATGTGGCGATGCAACATCCATTGTTGCAGTCTTGAACTATCCATACTTGAGGATGCAAATCTAGACGCATTTATTTATTCTCGTGATCTATTGTCAGAGCTGGCAACGCCACATGAAGATACATGAAGATTACATGAAGTAGATCTTCCTGGCATCTACATTAAGAGCTTACGACATTTGCCTTGAGACCGACTCATTCATGGACTTGGCCAGGCCACGCAGGGATTCATCCTTCTTGGCTGCTTTTGCAAGGCCGTCCTGGACGCTTGGGGCCGAGTTCGGACTCAATTTGAGAGCAATGTTTCTGCACCAAATTTAAACACCGCACTGTTTTCTCTCCAACCCTTTAAGATTACATAAGCTTACAATTTTTTGGTTCCATATGACTTGCGTTCAGACTTGTTCGGCGAAGTTTGTTGAGTTTCAAACACCTTTTCCTTTCAAATTCGCTCGCCCGGGCGTGCAAAACACACTCAATGGACCCGTGATCCCGAAGGGTGAATGGTCACGGCAGCAGATTGTTTGGAGAGTCAGAAATTGGTTTTGGGCCCTTGTTATTCCTTGTTATTCAAGAGGTGATAGAGCTACTTCATGATCTCATGCCACAAGGTGGTGAAATTTTGAGGGAACCGTGGATATTGATGGATATACTGTATGATATTGCTCATTCTTGGTGGCTGAAACCATCCAATTCTGAACAAAACACTCCATGTTGGTCAATGTTTTTGCCAATGTTTTTGCCCATCAAGCTTTAGGCCACGAATTGGCTTGGGACTCTTGGAAAGCCTTGATGGCAAACCTCCAGCAGGTGGGAAGACGCCAATCCTTTGCTGCGATGCTTCGAAGATTCTGAGTTCATTAAGCGAAAGATAGCTTTGCCAAATCATAAGTTTGTGACATCATTTTTTTCACTGCTCTGTTCATTTGTCACGGTCCTTGGTGCAAAAACTGATCTGAAGATATCTGAAGGGTCAGCCACCAGGAGCTGGAGCTGTCGGAGTTGTAGAGGACTGGATCTTAGAGACAGATACGCCCACCAGACCTAGAGAATCCCGTTGGATTGCAGCCTCTCACACCTATATAGAGCCTATACAGTTTGCTCATGTTTGCTCCATGCATCCACTTATAGTTGATGCTTGTCTTTCTTTGCAAATTGATGTAAATTGCAAGGTAGTGGGCAGAGAATCAGAGGACATCTTCCTCGAAGAGTCGGCCTCCAAGATTTCGCCCTTCCTAGCGGCAGCTCAGCTGGAGTCACTGAAGTCCAAGGCGGCCCACGGCAGAGCGTTTGAAGCAGTTGCTCCAGCAACAAAGCGTGCCTGGTTGGAGATCCTGGGAGGAGGCGCGCGCAGAGGTAAGAATGTGTAAGAACCAAGTATTGCAATATACTGCAAGTACTTTGAGGAAAGAAGAGGTCCAGGCTGTCCAGGTGACAAAAAAGATCCAAACAGCACCTGACCAGAACCTTCAATGATTCTGCTGGTGTCTATGGTGTATGGGATGGGACACTCCGATTAGAGATGATGGAGATGATGGAGATGATGGTGGAAGGCTTGGCATGTTGAATCTTGACTCTTTGGCCAGGCATCCATGAGATCGTCAGAGGCTGAAGACTGCACGTACTTGGTGAGCAAGCTGGATGTGATCACTGTACACCAGGTCTATCCAAGTGTTACACTGTATGTTTCTTGACAGTTGCAGCCTGAGGCTGCTCTTGAAGCTACTGAAAGATGAGGCAACTGCAGTCTGCATAGATTTAGGGGTTCCATGGAGTTTCATTTTTCAAGAGTAAGTAAGTGTAGGATATTAACATCATAGTAGCACAAAATATATAGAAAAAAGAATAAACACATATCACATATCACATTATAATCATATTACATACATATATACAAAAAAATATAACCATTAACTAGCATCAACATGCATCAACAATGGTGCCCCAGTTCGGAATCGCGATTCCAACATATTCCAACTGCATCTCACGGCACTTGGGTCATCCGCTTCCGCGCAGCCACGTGGCAAACGTGCACGCCTTTTCGTGCTTCAAGAGGAGCCTGGGGAATGCCAGTGTTTCAATGGAGTACAGCTTGCCCCATTGTGAAGACATGTTCAATAACTTGTAATTAAGACTGTTTGGATGCGTTCCATGTTTTGGCAATGTCAGTATAAGTTTCTTAGATCTCAAGAACGAGTGGCAAGATTGGCCCTGCAAGTGAAGAACTGTCGGAGAGTAACTTGGACAACCTAATGTGTAAAGGGGATCAAAAAGATATCAAAAGGGTTCGCCAGGCGAATGATTTAACATGATTTAACATTGATTTTGAGTTGGTTTCTGGTGCGAATGTACCAGGATGCAGCTGAAACTGCAGAGGAGGCCGTTCCTGGACGGGACCCCCGGCGCGAAAGTTAAACCAATAATTGTGCACATTGCATTCTGTTTTGCATATGAGAGACTGTTTGGCATGATCCAAAGCAACTTTTGGGAGTAAAATGGATATCTATCTACAATGATTGCGATGATGGCCCACTAAGCCTTACAAATCAAAACCCCATAGGAAACAAACTGTCGTCAGAAGGGATTCCGTGATACTAGCTGCATGTTTAAACGGCTATCATGAAGTAATTTAATCTATATCATAATCTGGTAGGTACTTAATGAGAGGCATTGTTGCCCCACATGGATGCCGTGGAAGATAAGCTCAAAGTGCGCAAAAGTTTCGCCCAAGTGCTATTTTATTTTGCGAAGAATGTAATAAAGGATCCCTACCCTCTTAAAAATGGAATTGGAGGGGGAGTCGTACTGAAATTTCATTTTAAAATTCCATTTTTGCAATCATGTTTTCTCAATGATCAATATTCCTCATCATTCCATGTCAATGGCAAGCAGGTGAAAATTAAATACTTGCGCTTAGCTCCGGAGGAGCTAAGCACATGTCAGACTGAAGCAGCACATGTGTAGGGATGGCATCCCTCCAAAAATTTGCGCTGCCGTGATCATACTTGCGCTTAGCTCCGGAGGAGCTAAGCGCAAGTATTTTCAAACCAGTGCCCAAGGCTTGTTAATAAATGTTACTTTACAATTCCATTCGAGGGGTTGGAGCACTATCCCAGGGGTTCCAAGCAAAAAAAAATGGAATTCGACAGGTTGGTTTTGTCCCCCCCCGCCCTCCCCCTCTATAGGGGTAGGGATAATAAAGGAACCACACACAAATATGTCACATATATATATATATATTAATGTATATATTATATTATATTATATTATTATTATGATTAAAATTATTATTATTTATTATTAATAATAACAATAATTATTGCAATTATTGTTATTATTATTATTTATTATTATTATTATTAAAACACATATTATTATTAGTGATGTACGATCAACCTTATGCGGCGCATCTTTAACATGTTTATGTTTCAACCAAATTCTAGGTCTACTTGTCGGATGCATGGTGTCAAGCAAATTTCCAAGTTTCATCACCAAGCAATGTGCAGGCTTTGTCGCGATTGGCAGCTGAACCAGAGGCCCAGCCGCCAAAATTTTCACGGCCGAGTTTACCCTTCGCAACATGCCAATGACATTACCCTGGCCAATGTGTATTGGGGTGCCCCATTGAGTTTTCCACATTTTCACGGCCAATGGGTTTGCCTCATTTCGGGGCACCCCAATACACATTGCATCACATTGCCATTCGGGGGGGCTTAGCTGCGACAAACGCAGCTCGTTCCAGGTGGATCATCTGATCTTTGTGGTGGGTGACCACATTGGCCTACGACCGATGGCTGTTGGTAGGCTGGGAAATCCGGTCCAGAAACGATCGTCATGACATGACATCATATGGTATGACATCTCAGTAACCCATAGGATCCATGGTGCTGGTATATATGCTAACATAAAGGGGGTATATTGATGGGATCCATGTTACCATATATAGCATACATGGATCCTATGGGTAAGATGATGTGATATGATTTGATGTGATGTTATGATGTGCTATTATGATATGGGGTCATATGATATGACACGACATGGCGCAAACATGACTCGATATGACATAAACCAAAAAATGCTTGCACACATGTTTGCCTGCTCGGGCGTCTTCCACAATCGTTGTTATCAAAAACGCCTCTGGAGGCTTGTGAGTGACTTCGGTGCAGAAGCTGTGCAATTGCCTACGGCACCATTGCCTGATGCTTAACGTGCCACCTGAGAACCGTACTTGGCAACGATTCTTCCATGAAAAGACATGAAAAACTGTTCAACACATGCTATCATTGCAGATTGACAAGACATGATATTATCCAGAATAGGTTTGATTATATAAGTGAAGGCACTGCCAAAGAAACCTTCCTGGCATCAGAGGCTCACATCCCAATGCATCACAGTCCTTCAATATTTGGTCGATAGGCGGGATATGGCGGGATGCGCGTTGATCATTGGAATATGATTTTTACCCACGCAATGTTCGCGCGCGCATTCAGGAGATGTGGATCCTGAACCCAACCCTTTCTCGCCACTTGTGCCAGGATTCAGATGATGAAAATTCAGGATTTCCTCAGTACTTGGGTATCGCTTGGTCTTAAAGTGTTCATCAGAATGTTTTAAGGACATGTCTGGTTCCAGACACAAAACATTGTGACACACATATATAAGATTATGTTTGTAGAGGGCTGTTTGGTTACCATCTGTAAAGCAACATGTGAATCATGACCAATCCAGGGTAACCTGGGTACTGGAACTTTACAAAGAGGCTAGTTTTGGCATGGTTCTGATTTGTGGGCCCACAGATCTTGACGAGGGGATGCGTTGACAAAATTCTCAAACACATCTGTGTGTAAAAGCTCCTCTGTGTAAAGACTTCTCTGTGTAAGAGCCTCTGTGTAAAAGCTTCAGTGTGTAAAAAAGCTTCTGTGTGTAAGAGCTTCTCTGTTTAAAAGTTCGTATGTGTAAAGACTTCTCTGTGTAAAAACTTCTGTATGTAAAAGCTTCTGTGCGCAAAGGCGTCTGTGTGTAAACCTTTTGTGTGTGAAAACACCATCTCTTGTGATTCTGACTGTCGCCCAGGCGCCAGCAGAGAAAAGCATCAAAATGTCGATATATGACATTTGACCAGCATTCATCATCGTCAACATCACCATTATCATTATTCAGCATTTGTCATTTATCATGATATTCTCTTGCCTAGTATCTTCTCGTCTCCTCCCTCCTGCTTTCTTTCGGGCCACACAGTCGTTCAGTTTTTTTGCCAAACGCGAGTTCTAGAAGCGTTTGCAGTAAACGTTGTGCCAAGGCCCAAGTGTGGCATCCAATTGAAGAGATGACGGCTTGTCTAATAATGCATGGAGCTGTCCAAGGTGTCATGTTGCTTTCTTTGCCCTTTGCCTCGACACTGGCAGAGTGGTGCGAGGAAACTTGGCA